ATCCAGATCCAGAAAGAGAAAACCCTTCCACCGTTTGGGTTTGGCCACAGGTGCTTCTACTCAACCGCAGGTAAATGAGCTCCTTTATTATTAATATTATTAACCAACTTGTGTGACTTGAGCACTTGTTAAAGCTGTTACTGCTGATGTTGGTTTTCTTGAGAAAAAAAAAGTTCATGAAATACAGCTAAATTGAGATTTGAGTTAGTCTAAAACACACACACACACACGAGCAAAGGGCTCACCCTGAAATGCTTCCCAGCCAAGAAATAACCATGACAATTACAAAAGTAGGACTAAATGAAACCTTAATGGAAATAATTCGTTGGAGTTGATGGTTGGACACATGTCTTGTGTTGTTGAGTGCTCTTTGGCAAGGAATGCTGAAGATGGTCAGCTAGTTCTTTGGCTTATCTAGATCATCCAGAGCAGCTTTTCGTTTGAGGATATCGATTTGAAAGCTGGTAGGTCGTCCTCCCTCAAGGCCCACACTGCACACTTTGGCTTCTATTGGCACGCTCACGCAAGAAAACGCTGCTGTGGAATGACACAAGTCACAACTACAGACCACCTCAAGGAAGAACATTGCATTCCATCTGCTCTCGGAACCCTTTCCACATCGGCCCAATGTGTCGTGTGAGCGGTTGCGGAACTTCGGTTGGAGATGGCTCATGACGGAACACCACGTCGTCTTCAGGCGCTAAGCTGTCGCCATCTTGCGGCCAGTGTGAGAAATGCTGTAGGGGACAACTTCCGGGAATCCAAAACACGCCGTTTTCCATTTGTCTCGTGCTGTAATCTATTTTTGCTTTTGAGATAAAACTTGGAAATCAAACTGTTTATTCGACTTTTACTCGTTCCACACAATAAAGAAGAAAATCAAGCTGTATTTAAATTTGGGTGTTTCTCGATGAAAACTAAAAACGAACAACGAGGTGGGTTCTCTTCCTCCTCCTTTTCGATATTTTCTTTCTCTTAATATCTAATTACGGATACACACTCGTTTTTTTAGTTTATTTAACTATAATATAATAGAACCAAGCATCCTATGTCAGGATGGCCGAGCGGTCTAAGGCGCTACGTTCAGGTCGTAGTCTACTCTGTAGGCGTGGGTTCGAATCCCACTTCTGACATTTCTTTTGCTTTCCTGTAAGCCAGGGGTAGGGAACTCCGGTTCTCCTGCTTGTTTTCGATCCCTCCTCTACACCAACGCAGCTGATTCAAAGGATCAGCTCATCAGTAAGCGCTGCGGAAGCCTGAAACGATCGTGATCAGCTGAATCAGGTGTGTTGGAGTAGGGAGAGCTCGAAAGCAGGCAGCAAATGGCTCTCGAGGGACCGACGCTCCCTCCCCCTGCTGTAAGACGACCCGTTTTCTTCTTGTCACTCATTAATGACGATATTATGCCACACACAGTATTCAAGGGCAAACAACACGACATTTGACCAGATCGGTGACTTCAAGGGGAGAGTGTGCTCAATATCACTGCCAATGTACACGAGCAAGTGCTTGCAAGCTTTACACTAAAGGATGGCTAAATGCCTCATTGTATGAGTTGGGAAATGATTGAATCTTGCAGTTTACACACAGTGTAGTTATCCATCACTAAAATAAGACAATGTTTGTTTTGTCTGCAGAGTGAACTTGAATACTGGCATGAAAGTGAGAAAGTCCAACTATCTCCCTTCTTGGCCAACCTCCAAGCAGCAGTTTTGGACTGATTTCATTATCTGCTACCGTGCCAATCTCATTATGGTGGGATTAGCGCTGCAGGTTCTTGCAGATCTGCTGTAACGCACTGGGTGGGGGGGGGCGAGGCTGAAGAGAAAATGTGTTGTCAAAACGTTCAATTCCGTTTTCGATGGTGTTCTTGATAACCTATGGAACTTTTCCTGGATCAATCCATTTGATAGAATCTGAAAGGACCGTCCCAGATTTTCTTTGCAAGAGTATGTGCGGCAGCACAGTAGTTTGACGAATACTGTGTACGATTGCGATGCGAGCCCGAGGACACTCTCACGTGGATTTCAGTGGAGCTGAAGCTTGAACGCAAACTTTGTCCCAGATTTTCTTTGCCAGAGTATGTCCGGCAGCACAGTAGTTTGACGAATTTTGTGTGCGATTGCGATGCGAGCCCGAGGACACTCTGACATGGATTTCAGTGGAGCTGAAGCTTGAACGCAAACTTAACACGTGCAATTGTTGGATAGCTTTTAGTTCCTCCGCTCTTGTTTGGGGTGCCACTGAGTGGGCTTGGCCTGGTCTCCCCGTGCTCGCGGGGGTTATCTGCGGGTACTTCGGCTTCCTTTCGCATTCCCCAAAACATGCATGTTGAGTTCATTGGTGACTCCGAGTTGTCCGTAGGAGTGAATGTGAGCGTACGCGATTGTCTCCTTGCGAATGGCCAGCAGGCAGACCACAGGCTATCCTTCCTCCTCCCCACCTCAGCCGGAATGGGCCCCAGCTCCGCCACGAGCGTTCCAGCAGTCGAGATGGCAAGCCCTGCCACTCCTAGACGTTAATTACTTGTGATGGTTGAACTGAGGCCAGCTGTCCAGGAGAGCTAAGCCGCACTGCACATGCCCAGTATTGCACCAGCTTTTGCTTTGTGTCCCCCACCTGATGCAAATGGTACAAACCTTCCTTTGCGCTATTTTCTCCCCTTGGTGAGTCAGGACATCATAAATCTTCCCACGTGTCCCGAGAATAAACAAAAAGTAGCTCTAATCGTTAGCTGCGATTCCAGACTGCTGACTGCAAACAATTTCCCGTGATTCAGGTCACACGGCATTGTGGCTTAAAGGCGAGCTATTTTTTTTTTTAATCTGTACAGTACACTAACACATACCATCGGATATTGATAATGTACACACACACGCACACATTTATTTTTCTTTTCCTCTGTACAACCCTCATGGTCGACTTGGGGCCAGTTTGCAACTGGTTGGGCACTCCAGATGTGGAGTGTAATGACAAAATCTGCGGACAGATGAGAGAGCCTTGTGGAACACCGACATTTTTCTCCTGTTTGAGCCGTCAGTCGTAGCCAGCTAAAATATTTGATGATTGCATTATTTGCGTTTGAACTGCTGACATCCGTAGCATGTATGTGCATTTTATGCTTTGCGAATGTATTTGTTGTATCATCAATCAACACCCAATGGAAGGTTTCAACGATTAGCGTTCGAATGACTAAAATCACGTGATTGACTATGTATTGCATTGGTAGATATAAATGAACGAATGGACGTTTTTGTGCAAGGCGTTCCACTGTGACTCAGGAAAAACATTGACGAGACAAGTTTATCCACACTAAGCCGTGAGCTAAAAGTGTTCTGGTCTTGACGCAACGCAGGCGGTCCAAGTAAGTCGTGTCCAGCAGATTTCAGTTCAAGCTTGCAAGTGATTATCCTTCTGGCTTTTCCAGGCTATCCTTAGCCTCCTCGTGCATGTGATTAGCGGTTCGGCGCCCTGCCGGACGGACCCAAACCGAAAACCTGGGCTCGCAAAAGACGCTTGGACGTCCTTGATGGAGGTTTTGGCCTCATGTTTGGATTGTGAACACGGAGCAAAAGTGAGTATCTGCACTTTATAGCAATATTCACGCCGATGCAACGTCTGATGTTCGAGATCGTGCAAATGATGAGGCCATGTAGTCGTCGTGGTATTGAATTTCCATGATTAAGTATTCACACTGGGTCGGTTTTCGCTTTGAGGAAAAAAAACAAAAACAAATCCAATAACATTTGGAAACATGCTGTTTATTTGGCAGGAAGGCAAGTTTTTCTCAGTCTGTTGTCGAATGACCAGGCTGCTTAGGCAAAAAAAAATTTTTAAAAAACATAGACAATTAGATAGAATGAGAATATTACTTCTAAAAGGAAAATATACAGCAATGATTTAAAAGAATGATGCGCTGACAACCCGTGTCAGCGTTTCGTCATCAGGTGTGCAACCGAGCAGCACGAGTCAACCATCAGGCATGGCGTGATGTTAGTACGAAGGGCATCCTGCTGTTTGTGCCCGGACACAATCAGGAAGGACATGAATATGTGAAGCAAGGAAAGCACTTTCAAGACGCTAATATGAGCCGGAGAAGATCAGCTCAGGGCTTTCTTTCAAAGCGTCAGTCAAGCTTGGCCTACTTGAGGTTTCCGTAGGATCGCCCTTCTTCTGCCCACCATCGATGAATCCCGCCTTTTCATGTGAGCACCCGCGCCTTTGTCCCCCGTTGCCATGCTTATTTTTCTTTGCCGATATTTACGCCGCGTCTCGCTAATCCTGACGGGTCGTGGGCACTGACGTTTGACGAGCGGCACGGGAAAAACGTCCGACAATTTTCGGCAACATTTAAGCTCGTTCTTGAAAGGAACGCGGAGGATTTGCGCTTGGTTATCGCCATCTTTATTTCCGGCATTACGCCTGCTGGTTACGCAAAACAACAGCTTCTGTTCATTTTTGCCAACAAGAATGCAACAATACATAAAATAAGTGTGGAGTGGGGGGGTGACTTTTTTTTTTTTTTTTTTAATGCAAACATCCGCTATGAAGTCTGAAGCTAGGCATTTTCTGGAGATTTAAAATTCCCCTACTCAGCGGGGGGATCACTGATGGCATTTTGTCTTCCAGGCTAGGATGACTCAAGAGCGAGGCCTGGGCAGAAGGACGTGTCGAGGTTCCGCGGCGGTCCTCCACTTGCATAGCGCTGAATAATCGACGAGGAAGGCCCGGGAAGCAGCCATGTCCTCCCACAAACGCGGCTTCCAGTGCTTCAGCGCCGTCCCCGCTTCCCACAAGCACGCCGGCTGCAGGCTCCCCCGCATCCCCGACCCCGACGCGGCCGAGGCGGCGGCTTGCTACCTGTGGTCCCAATGCAGACACGCCCGAGCCCTGGAGGCCTTCCACTCGCAGGCGACACCTCTGTGTCCCTACCACCGCCATCAGCACAGGAGGCCCAGCAGGCCCGACGAGCCCCCTCCTCGCGCCAAGAAGGTGGTCCTGATCAAGAACAGCGAGCCGTCGCTCAGAAAGACCGTGGTGCTGCAACGCAAGGGCCTGAGGAGCTTGGGGCTGTTCCTGGAGGAGGTGTCGGAGCTCCTGCAGTACCACGTCAGGAGGCTCTACACCCTGGACGGACACAAGGTAAAGGCCACACGGGGCAGCTGCCGGTGAGAGCGGGTTCAATCGTTTCTCACCGTTTCTGCTTTGCAGATTTGGGGCAAATTGTGGAAAAGCCCTGCAATGACCCGGTAGGGGAGATAGGCTTTAGGACAGGGACTCACAAACGTGTTTTTTTGCGGCCCACGGGATGATATTTTGCCGCCCCCTACTTCATATCGAGGTTGAATGTTATCCCCCCCCCAAACACACATACTCCATGCTCACAACAGTTGCAAGTATCCAATGCAAGAGCTCTATCACAAAGAACTCCCCATTTCTGATTGGTCCTGTGGTAATCTGTGAACGATGTGGTTTGCAGTGGTGTCTAAAATGAGGCCAGCCAAAACAAGGTGGAGATGGACGCCCGCTCCACTAGCACAGTGGATCCAGCCAATCGGCTTAATCAGCTGCCAAACAGAGAGATAACTTGACGGTGATTTGTCAGCAGGACACAGTCACGCGTGGCTCCTATTGTACAGTACGCTGGTACCTTGACTTCAGTTGAATTCTTTCTGCCCTTTACTGGCATCCCAAATTTTAAGTTGTACCCTTTGCTCCTTGAATGAAGATGACAAAAATGTCATAAATCCAGGTTGTCACGGGTCCCTGCGAGTTCCATCAAATGATGAGATTAGGTCAAACCTTAAAAGTACTCAGACTGTCTCACTTCATTGTATGTCTATCTCTCATCATCTGGCATCCGCACGCGTCAAAGCTCGCTGTTGTGCTGACTAAGCCTGTCATGCTGGACTGCGCCGTCATCTGCAAGAGTTCCTCGAATTATGCTGGATTAAGACATTTATCTTTAGCGGGGATGAGAAGGACTCAGTAGCATGAGGAGCCAAAGCATGAAATGTTCTTTTTCTTTCTAGTCGGCGATGTCGCAAAGTAAGCCTTGCAACCGTGCACACCGGAAGAGTTGACCGAGGCCCAGGACGTTATAGAATGACCTTGGATTTGCAAGAGATCGGCTTCCTGTGTATTGTTAAAACGAAAGATTTGTGTTGGGTTTCAGGTGGAAAATGTTCAAAGCATCATCCAGTGTCCCAGCGTTCTGGTCTGCGTGGGACGGGAGCCTTCCCATCCCTCCATTTTGGAGAGATTTCGTAGAACCGCCGAAGACAAGCTGCCAAAGCTGACTGCAAAGGCGCGCTTAACCGGCAATGAAGGTAGGAGAACGACTTGAATGTTCAAGATAATGACCACGCAACTGATTTGACTCATTCTTTATCTTTTGCCACCAAACCAAGGACAAACAGTTCAACCAAAACTAACATCTGCCAACCGATCCACGAGGCATTCGGTGTCTTCTGAGAAGTCACTTCCAGATGGAACGGAATCACCAGATGGCGCCGGGTCTGTCTCGCCCACCGCCGACGGGACACTGGACGACAATGTCGAAAAACAAGTCCGCATCAACAAAGATGGCAGCTTGTCCATGAAGATGAAAGTCCGCTTTCGGCTAGACAATGACGAAACCTTACTCTGGTCCACCGAAGTGACAAAGTCCACCAACAACGCCAGCGAGTTCCCTCAGGAGCTAGATAGCATCGGAAGCTGCTCGGGTTCGGAGATCTTTTCTGCCAGTGAGCCAGTAGAGGCCTATGTCACGAGGCGGCGTCACAGGCATGCACAGTGCTCTCGCTATCCTCACTGCTACAACATCTGGACAAACGGGCCAGGCCCACGGGGAGATAGTTGCGGTGCTCAGACCTCAAGTTCAAGTGCATCCTCGCGCACGTTGGTCTCCAGGAAGACCGTGACTCAACGATCGAGCGAAGAAAACGCAGAACACGTGGTGGAGCAAGAAACATGTGTTGAGGCCTCTGAAACTGTGGAGTACTGCACCATCCGAGCTGGTTCTTGCGCCATGGAGAACAGCGAGCCAAAAGAACAACCAGGATCTGTCGTTAGCGGCGACGATGCTTCACCCAGTGCGACAAGACCATCCTCGCAGAGTGGAAAACCTGTCCAGGACGAGGGCACGGAAGATGCCGAACCAAATACGTCAGGGAAATCGTCGTCAGGATCCAGTGACGCAAAGCGCTCCGGCACGGTCAAACAATCCAAGAAATCCTACGCATGTTACTGTGGAACATCGAAGGATGATACAGAGGCAAACTCGGAGGAGACTGGCAAAGTAGAAAGACCGCAGAGTTCCACGTCGGTAAAACCAAATGTCAGTCCGAATGCAGAACCTGAAGGTGGAGAGGAGGAACGATACAAAAGTGCCATGTCAGTTCATTCAAATGCCTCAACAAAGTGCAAAGCAGATGTCTTCGAGGCTGACGAAAGGCCACCGAGCCAAACGTCAGTCACGTCTGAGGTGAAGAGTGAACAGTGTCAACCAGAAAAGGAAGCCGCTGAAGAAAGGCCACCGACGTCCCTGTCGTCTAAATCCAAAACTTCAGTCACATCCCGGGGATCAGCTGGCGGGGATGAGGAAAAAGCTCCGGAAGACAAACTTCAGTCACATCAGCTGGCGGGGATGAGGAAAAAGCTCCGGAAGAGCACGCCGATCACGGGGAGCAAAGTGAGACCGGAGCCGGACTGAGAACGCAAAGCCAAACGTCGGTGTCAAAAGCACCCCCACTAAGTGTATTTGACCGATCGAAGGTGGACTCGCAAGAGGAATCAAAGAGTACCGAGGAGGCACAGGACCGAGCACTGAGTGTCCGGTCCTCCGTATCAAATGTTTCTGCAGGCACGCAAGAAAGATCTGCGAGTGCTGTGTCTGCAACATCAGGAAAGTCGAAAATCTCTGACGCAGACGTGATGTCGAGAGGGGTCTCCGTTCATGTTGATAGCGGCAGCGAGGAGGTCCCGCAAGAGAGAGCTTCAAGTAGCATGTCGGTTGTATCCACTACATCAGACGTGAGGTCAAGACAATCGAAATCCCCACCAGTCGGTGTTGGCGAAGACACCACAGAGGCAGCTGAAGACAGACCGCAAAGTGCAATCCAATCAGTTAACATGACAAGCCATCGCCAGTCCAAATTATCCAAATCTCCAGACGGAGGACTTGACAATGAGTGCAAAAGTGAAGCAGGGAGCAGCATATCGTGTCATTTGGAAGACAGCGTGGAGGAAACGCCCAGTTCTGATCAAGTCGAGGGAAATCCTGCCAACCGCAGTGAGTCTGAAGCAAGGTCGCACAGTGCCATGTCAGGGAAAACAGGGCAGTCGGAATCTTCTGCAATAGCCACCAAGTCTAAGGATTTTGAAGCAAATGGCAGCAATGAGGAAACCGCAGAAAGGGCGGAAAGTGTCATCTCTGCTAAATCAAGGGCATCCAACAGATCTTCTCAAGCTGAAAGATCTCAGAGCGGGCCTATCGGAGAAGAAGCGAACCAGAGATCACCGAGCGCCACGTCCGTTCAATCAGTTAAGTCGAGCCTTAGTTCAAGGTCCAATGAGCACGAGAGGGAACCGAGTGTGAAATCGGCCATATCTGCCAAATCAACACAATCTGCTAAATCCAGTGCACCCGAAGCCGGCAAAGTTCCAGCTGAATCTAAAGATGCATCCGCAGAGTCCAACCATCCAAACACTCCTTCAAACGGTGTTGACACAAACGAGAGAGCGATGAGCACCATGTCAGCAAGATCCCACCTTTCTGCAAGGTCGAGCAAGTCTAAATGTTCTGCTGATGTTCCCGCGCAAGACGAGTCTCGCTGTTCCGAGGATGAAGAAAATAAGCAAACAGGAAAAAGGCCTTCAAGCTGCACATCTGCTACATCAACCCTCTCGCACGTTTCCGCAGAAAGATCGCCCAGTGCTCTGTCAGTGAAATCGCATGTTTCTAGAAAATCTGCTAAAGCAAACCTCTCAGAGGTAAGCGCCAGCAAAAGGCTCCCAAATGAAAATTTGAGAGAGGAATGCGACGAGAGAGCGCAGAGTACCGCGTCAGCCAAAACGGCAATGTCGACCCCTCCCATGAGATCCACAGCACCAAAAGGAGATGACGATGCATGTGACCATGAAGAGAGGGCACTCAGCGGAATGTCGGCCCGATCTGCAAAGTCACACATCTCGGCACCGGCGGGGTCGGTAAAAGATAGCGTTTCTGATCATGGGGCTGATTCCTCACTGGAGGAACACAGTGGGAGCATATCACTAACCTCACTGTCCATGAAATCAAGTAAATCAGCCCGATCCGGTAGGTCAAAATGCTCGGTTGAAGTTTGTAGGCCAAAGTCAGATGCGTCAGAGACATCTCATGTATCCGAGCTTGTTTCCGAACACGTCTCGAGCAGAGCAGGGAGTAAACTGTCTGCCAAATCTGCAAAGTCCAACCGATCCAAAGTCTCAGCTGAAGAAAATGCTGGTCGTCGAGACTCTACGGAAAGACCTTTAAGCAACTCGTCAATCAGATCGGCAAAATCTACAAGTGTATCCGGAGCATCCAGAGGGGTTTCTGAGCTGATGAGTGAACACAGCATCGAAATTGCAGACGTTGAGAGTGAAGAACTCATGAGCTCTGAGCAGTCGGTTGCATCTGCGACGAAGAAAGATTCCATACTTGATGGACCAGCGGAAGACACCTCCCAATGTGCAGATCAAGACGAGGACCGGGAACAACTTGAAGAAGGGCCAGCCCACTCACAGGCTTGCGGTGTCATCGAAGACGTGTCCGAATGTTGTCTGACCTCGGGAAGAGCTGCTAGCTCCTTGTCTGCAAAGTCAGCGATGTCCGCGGGCTGCTCTGCAAAGTCAAAGACTTCAGCGCACTCTCTATTATATACAGCCAATGAAACGGAGTCCGAGCACCATGATGACTCTGAAGAGAGATCGGCAAGCGGGGCATCCGCCAAATCGACCCGGACAAATGGATCTGAGTCACTGAGAAGTGTAGCAGCGTGTGAGGTTCCTTTGGAAGAAAATGCGGTAAAAGAGGAAGAAACAACACCGAGGCCGCCGAGCGCCGTCACGGCCAAATCGAGCCGATCTGCCAAATCAGCACACTCGATGACTTCGGCAAAGTCCAAATCCTCAGTTGCAGCGCAGGACAACAATGATGAGATCTTCGAGAGCGCAGTGAGCAGCACCTCTGGTAAATCGGATCAATCCAGGAGGTCAAAATCCTCAGCTGCAACAAACAAGTCGAAAGCCACTGGAGATGCGGTGAACACTGATGATATTGAGAGAAGAGCAAAGTCTGTTGTCTCCATGTTGTCTGGAGGATCCAAATCATCTCTACGACCGCAAAATGAATGTGGTGAAGAGGAATGTGAAGAAGGGAGAAGACAAAGCGTAAGGACAACCAAGTCAGACACAACTTTCAAGTCGAGGTCATCAAATATATCCGACGGGAGCAGGGTCGAAGGAGTTCAGGGAACACCCGCTGCGTTGTCAGTCAAGTCAAATCAGTCTTCAAGGAGCAGAAAATCAGGAAAGGGCTCCAGTGGGCCCAATGAAGGAATTGATGAAAGATCCAAAAGCGCAACGTCCAATGTGTCTGCAAAATCCACAAAGTCAGACCTTCCTGTCGTGGCAATTGAGGAATCTGAACACGGAGCAGGCACAGCGGTGCGATCCAAGTCCCGAGCGTCAGCAACATCTGAAGTTCTGGAGAAAAAAAGCAAAGAGTCAGCCCACTCAGGGAAATCCAAGAAAAGGGATCTTTTGGTGGCTAAAGATCATGACAAACAAACAAAAGCCATTCCTCAAAGTGGTGAAACTTCAGTTCACGGAGACGTGAGCTGTGAACATGTACCCAACGGTCCTAAAGAAACCACAGATGCTGGTAGGAGTGACAACAAAAGTGACACGCAGACGGTGGATGGTGATGACGATGAAGCCCTTGTTCCATCAAGCCTGCCAAATGCTTCCCTAACCGAAGTCGTCAATGAATGGCTCAATAAAATCCCGCCCGACGGAGAACTGTTTGATATGGAGGAGCTCAGCGGCAACGTGCTGCATGACACCAATGGCAACACTGTCTCTGAGAATAATCTCAATGGACTGAACGAGGAGGCTGGCGTTTCTGACAGTGAACAGTGTCATGAAACGGCAGGTGAAAAGGGGGCAAATCATCCGAGAGATACTGACTCCGAGATATTTCACTCTTCTGTGCTGGTGATGAAAGTCCTTCTCAACCCCAAGCTAGACAGATGCAGCAGTTTACCAGAGGTTTCGCCTTCGTATGGACGTAAACTTAGCACCTCGGCCACAAGTCTCATCGATTGCCTCGCAAAGCTGCAGTTGATAGACACCAATCCTACGAGTGCGGACGAAAAATCGGAACGATACAAAGCGCTCGTGGAGGGCCTTCAGTCTCTGTGGCTTTGCGACCCCGCCGAAAATGAACCCGTGTTAGAAGAAAAAGCCGACCGACATTCTGACAAGGACTTTAATCAGGGATCATCCTCTGGCATCGACATCAACAGTGGCTCCACAGGTTCTGGGAAGAGCAGCGGCGGTAGGAAGCAACAGCAGACCCTCGAAGTCACACCAGGCAAAGCCCAGGAAGTCCCCCAGGAAGAAGGGGCGGCGGGAGGAGAGGAAGAACAAACGCGTGAGGAAAGCCCAAAGGGAGATGCGTCAACCAACGAGACGATTAGAAGCAATGACAGTCCAAGAGTATTGTGTGACAGCCCGCATTCCTCTGATGAGATTTCTAGGAGTCCACGACAGTCCCGTAAGCAGCCATCTCACGACCCCGATCCTGTGTGGGTCCTTAGTTTATTAACCAAAATAGAAAAGCAGTTCATGACTCATTATGTCAACGCAATGTGCGAGTTCAGAAACCAGTGGAACGTAGATGATCACGAGCAGCTCGACAGGATGATAAGCGAACTCAAGGATGAGATCCACAGGCGCATTCAAGCGAGCATAAACAGAGAATTGCGTAAGATTAAAGGTCGGGCGGGGCTGCCGAGACCTCCCAAAGAAGCTAAGTCGAGACCTTCGACCACCCAGACCGACGAGAGGAGACAACGGCTTAGGATGAAAACCAAGCCAGCAGGAAAAAGCGATGATTCTGCCACGAGCACCATTTTCAGCGATCAGCGTGGTGAGATCGAGGATGACAACTGCCCATGCGAATCGTGTCTTCGGAAGAAAATGTCACTGGGGCCGCAACGTCCTGCCGGAGTTACGAATACCGCTCCGGTTCTCATGGAGTTTGATCTCCAAAGGATTCTTCGGATGAGGAATGATAATCGAATGCAGGATTCTCTGGCCAACAGTGAAACAAAAGCAGCAGCAGCGAGACTTGTTGGACAGATCCTTGACCACGCTGTGAGAGAAGCTGTGGAAGATGGCGATATGGAAGATCCGTTTGAAGTTTTGGAATGCAAAAATGAAGCGGAAAATAAAGTTGAGGAAGCCAGGACTGAAAACGCCCCATCGCAAGAGGACAGCGAGTGCGAAGTCTCAGGTGGAGATGCTGAAGCCAATGCAGCTGAGGATGCAGATGAAGCCAAAGAGTCCACTCGTGCAGATAGCTCACACGATGAAGCGGAAGAAGATGGCGCCGTCGATATGGCAAGTGAAACGCCTGCCACCAGTGGAGATGAGAGTGACCACGAATCCACTGTGAAGGACTCCGACGAGGTTGCTGCTGAAAACGCGCTGATCACAGAGGTGGCTGCAGAAGATGAAGGTGCGGCACAAGAGGCTGCTGTGGCAGTCACAAGTCGACAGGAATCCGAGGAAGTTGAAGGGCGAGGAGTCGATGGTGAAGAGGAACCTCCTGCTGCAAACGGTGAAGAGAATGATAACCCAGCGACCGGAAATCAATCAAACGATGACGAGTCAGGGGATGGCGGGGGCAAGGATGGAGAGGCTCCGGACACCGCCACGTTTGAAGATGAATATGCACCACAAGATGCCACCATCACGGCTTCCGATGACAATAAAACACAGGAAGATGAAGAGGTAAGAGAGAGTGAAGAGAATGACGAGGCATCCACCTTGAAGAACTCGAACGAGGACAAGGACACAAATACGGTGGATGAGGTTTCTGCAGATGATGGCGGAGAAGATGAAGATGCGGCATTGGTGGTCACCACAAGAGCTGCAACTGAACATGAATCTGAGGCTGAAGAAGAATTGGCAGGAGAAGACCAGGATGAGACTCCTGCCACTAGTGCAGATGAAAATGATGAGGAGGTTGATGAGGAGGTTTCGAAAACCGTTGAAGATGCAACACAGGAGGCCGCTGGGTCGGCCACGAGTGAACAGGAATCTGAGGAAGATGAGGAAGGGGGAGTTGAGAGTCAAGAGGAGACTCCTGCCACAAGTGGAGCTGAGAATGAGGATGCTGCAGAGGTTGAGATGATGAGTGAAGAGGTTTCTGAAACCGCCAAAGATGAAGCTGCGGCGCAAGCGACAGACTCGAATAAAGAGGAACCAGAGGGGGAAGAAGAGACTCTCGCCACAAGCGCAGCTGAGAATGAGGATGGAGCCGATACAGAGCAACACGCCGAAGAAGATGACAGATTGCGTGAAAATGTTGCTGACACCACCGCAGCTGAAAACGTAGCCCAAGAGGCCAGTGGGTCGGCCGCTAGCGGGCAGGAATCCGCCGAAGAGTCAGACGGAAAAGTCGATGCCGAAGAGGAGACTTGTGCCACAAGTGGAGCTGAGAATGAGGATTCAGCTACTGACAATCAGGCTGCTGCAATAGATGGGATGATGACTGATGATTTTCCTGAAATAGTCAAAGATGAAGATGCTCAAGAGGCAATCACGAGTGAACCTGAATCAGAGAAGCGCAAAGAACCCAAAGTCGGTCGCGAAGAGGAGACTCCTGTCACAAGTGGAGATGAGAATGAGGACGGAGCTGACACAGATCAGGACGCCGAAGAAGATGACAGCTTGAGTGAAAATGATGCTGGCACCACCGTAGCTGAAGAAGCCGCACAAGAGGCCACAGTGTCAGCCACTAGTGGAGAGCGATCCGAAGAAGAGGAAGAAGGAAAAGTGGACGGTGAAGAGGAGACTCCTGCCCCAAGTGGAGATGAGAATGAGGACGGAGATGCCGCAGATCAGGATACTTCAATCGATGGGATGACGACTGAAGACGTTTCTGAAACGGTCAAAGATGACAATGCGGAAGAGGAAGCCACGAGTGGACCTGAATCAGAGGAGGAAAAAGAACCGGCAGTCAGTGGCGAAGAGGAGACTCCTGCCACCAGCGCAGATGAAAACCGTGGCACTGCTTCGACTGAAGATGATGATGATTCCGCTACGGTGAAGGACCAAACAAATGCGCAAACTAAAAAAGAGGATCTTGATGAAAGTCAACAAGACCATGTGGATGACAATGAAAATTCAGGAGAAGAAGATCCTGCCCGAACAAGCGACGGCGGAGAAGATGCAGCAGAAGCTCCGGATGACGAGGATGTATCTGATAAAGCGAGAGGTGAAGACGTCACCGCAGCAAACACAAGTGAGCAGGAAGAAGACGAGGCTGCCAACAGAGCTGAGGATGACAGCGGCGAGGAAGGTGAGGTTGCTAACCAAGAGGAGGCGGCTGACGAAGACTCCGATCAAGAGTCGGCATTGTCTGCAAAAGAGAACATCGCTGAAGACCAAGATGCATTGATGAAAGAGTCAGAGCTTGAAGGGCCTGAAGCAGAACCTGAGGAATGTTTCCAAAAGGACCAAGTCGAAGCAACGGGTGGCGATTCTGCAGAGGCCCCCGGAGAAGGATGTGATGAAGCGGAGGATGGAAGCGATGACGTACGGGAGGCTGAAGATGACCCAGCAAGTCGTGAAGATGACGAGAATGAGGAGCCTGTGGTGACAAACAACGAAGGCACAGAGTACATGAGCAGGGCAGAAAAGGACAAACGCAATGAAAGGGGAGACAATGGAAAGCACAGTCGAGATGACCACGAAACAAACGGAGAGACAACGGAAGCAGCCGAAAAAGAGGAGGAAGAACCCGAGGTGATCACCGATGCAGGTTCAGACGATGCGATGGATCCGAGTGCCGAAAACGACCAAATGAGAGACGGTGATCGTGGCGAGGATGACGAGGAAGAACCTGCGGTGACCGACAACAAAGATCCAGATGAGGCGGTCGAGCCGGGAAAGGAAAACAAGGAAAGCAAAGACGCGTGCAACGAAGAGCAACCGCAGGACGATGACCGGGAAACCTTTGAGGCATCCGAAAAAGAGGAGCGAGGACCCGAGTCCACCGGCCAGGGCGAGTCAGCTGACGGCGAGGATGGGGCAGACTCCGATGACGACGAGGATCAAAAGGAGAAAAGCGAGGCGCGCGATTTCATACCCGGCGAGGCGGGCAATCAGAAAGCCGACAATGGGGTGCTCTCGGAACGGACAACATTAAGGGTGAAGACCGCTTTGAGTAAAGTGAAAGCCGAGTCTGACGGTGGCATCGAGGCGGACGGCGAAGATTCAGACGCGTAAAATGTTAAGGGCAACTAAGAAGTGAAGCCGAGGACGTCGAGATGCGGTATTCCGGTTGCTCGGGGTGGCGCGAGTCCATGCTGAGCACGATGTACAACTCGGCGACAAAACCAACCTCGGAACCACAACCTCGATGATGAGGCAGCTACCAAATCAGCTCGTTGAGATGACAGACTCATGCAGTTGTTGTTACAAAGGGAAAACTTGAAAATGTTTCTGGACTGCAAACTCAGACGGTGAACTCAATGGAAGCCTCAAACCTGGAATGCGTGTTCGATTTCTTTGTTTCTTCCGATTGAATGGCCAATAAGTGTATTTTTGCCCGTATACTACAGCTATCCAGTCCTTTCATTACGTCTACGTCTTTTCCCCATTTTAAAATACTTTTGGTTTCAATCTTGGGCTCGTGATACGGTATATTTCCTCGTTACCTCATTCATGTTCACTGGTTAACATTAGCTGACATAGCTGTAGTAGACCAAACAAACGTTATGGTGACATACAGAAGACTATCGGTCAAAACTAAAAAAAGTGGCAGGTATTACCTCAGCTGCATGTAACAAGCACTTTTTGTCTGTGAAATAAAATGCAGATGCACTTTCAATACTGATCGCTGTCATTAGTAGTGTTTCAAAACAACTATCCAAACCCCGACTCGTGTGAGGTAGCTGTATTATCGTTATCGTCACTATTTTGGAATCCAGTGACGCATTATAACAGGACGATGTTTCCTCAACTTATTCTTTGTATTGCGGTGTTTTTTCAATTCATTTTGTATGTTGTGAAATGTGTCGAGGTAGTGCTATATGATGTCGGTTTAGGTTTAAATTGTCCTCTATGTGGAAAGGGAAGGGGGGGGGGGTAGACATTTGTGAATTTTAGTGAGTTCACCATAGCGCAACTGTCACCTCTGTGGAAGTGTGAGTGGCTAATAGCAAACTCTAGCCCGGGGCCCAAAATCCCCCTGTGGGTTTGACAAAAGGGAGCTCCGACATTGAGACTTGCCGGTGCGTCTGCAGCAAATCCCAGCGCCTCATTAAGACAACGCTGATGGATGTGCACACATAGTTACACTTTCCCACCGGCGGTCTCCCGTGAGCACAAGACACCCATGATTGGTGGCACCCCGATTGACTGTGTGAGTCCAAAGTGATGCACGGGACCCGGGGTGATGATGTCACGCGGCCTTGGTGCTCCTTTCCCAAATAACACAAACAGGAAGAAGTTGAGTGCAAGTATTGAATGTTGTATAGGTAAGACACAATTATGTTGCAAAATCTTTCCAGTCGATTGGTAAGTGAAAATGGGTGAGAACAGCCATCGAAAAGGCTCAGAATCACATCTGTACGTAGCTTGCGCCGCGTCGCAAGACAGAGAGACGGTGTCCCGCACCGAGAAGGCCCAGAACGCACAGAAAGGCGGCTGGATGTAAATCAACGGGAGGTACTTGGAAAAGGCAAGCCTAATCCTAATCCTTTGATTCTACGAAGCGTAAAGGTAAAGAGGAATCTTCGTGTCCTTTATGCCCGCAAGAAGCGCGACCAAGATAGAAAACGACGACAAACGAAGCTAAAGCTAACGTAAGATCGCGCAAGCTAACAAGCGAAACGGAGCCGACGTGATAAGTGACACGTAACTTTCGCCGGCTGTCAGTTAGCAATTAGACATTCATAATAAAGACTCTTTTTGGAAATAGTGATGTTGTCATTTGAAGTTTAGTTTAGAATTTAGTTCGGGGTCTTTTATTATTCACATTCATTTATCACAGGATTATGTTGTTTTGTTTTTTTTAGGGGGCGCCAAGGCAAGTGTGACTGAGAATTGAAGAAATGGCAAAGAAAGAAAAAACACTGTTGCTGAGGAAGCACCTGCTGGCCGGCACAAAGCTCTTTCCACACTAAAGCGTGAACGGCGTCATCCGGGAGCACAATTGCTGAATCCTGAAATGGGGATGAGGGAGGGTAGGGGTTCCCCCCCAAGGTGTTTTCGCCAACAGCTGTCAAGCAACACCCGCACTTTCTCCAAGGTCTTCAGCGTCAGGCTTCGGCTCGTTCGGGGGAAATCGGAGGTGAGTGACAGGTGACGTCCCGAAGGACCGTGAGCGATGCCTGCCTGCTGAATGGGGGGGGCTCCTTATTGTTCCTTAGTGACAATCACTTTGTCTTGTTGGGGTTCAAGCAGGAGCCTCTCATCACTTCTGTGTGTGACAGAGGCCACAAAAGGTTCCCACACAGGCAGGAAGTCCAACCAGGACGTGGATGGGACTTACAAAAATTTGGAAATGGACTGTGGTTGTTGGGATTTACATGGACAGGCGAAACTAGTTGCCATCGCACGGAAACAAAAGATGGTCATTTTCCGATGGGAAAGATGCAATATTTTGTCCAAGGCGAATGTTTTCAGAAGCGAACCTCAGAATTGGCTTTACAGAGTCTTCAGGTAAACGCAAGTGGAATCAGAACTGGTTTTTTTTTTTTTTTTTTTTTTGTTAAAAAAAAACCCTCTTCACATGAATAACGGTCGGCACCGATGACAAGGGGCCCGAGATGGCAAAGGAGACTCCGCGCTCGCTTTCTTTCCCACTGTTGTTGTTGAGGCTATCCCGTGGGGGCCACTTAGGAGGCTCCTGTAGGCAGGATGCAACGTCTGGAGACCCCCGAGCGGCATCCGCCAGGGCTTGGGAAGAAAATAAGGGCCCTGGAAAAGACGGCCCGGCCCCAAAAAAGCGAAGAGGAAAAGGGGTGAGTTCACCGGGACGCGCTCGCAAACACTCTGTGCACCTGCAGCGTGACCGTGTGTGAAGTCGAGGACACACACGCACATGCATACATGCAGGTGGTCCAAAGAAAAAGCTGTGAAGTGTTTGCCCGGTGCAGGATTATCCCCCCTCCTCCCTACCACAACCACATCGGAAGCAAACACTTCCTCCACTCTTGCAAGATTGATTGTTCCCTCCGCTTACTGTATAACGTCATCGTTCTGAATCATCATTTACAAAGCAGGCTCATGGTTGCGATATGATTTAAGTTGCACTCGAAGGTTTTTGGAGGGGTCAGGTTGGAGGAAGAATCATTGTGTATTATCCCCTCTAGTGGCCGGTTAAACAAACACATCATTGACAACACAAAGATTGGCTTTGGAAGCATGAAACATGAATTGAACGTCCGCATGCCGAGTGATGAGGCAAACCCCCCTCACGGCCTCACCAAAAATCGCCGTGCTTGAAATTTCGTGACTCGTTCTTTTCCACGTGCTACTTTCCCCGAAAGTTGATGGTTAAGACTCGACCCGCTCTTCCAGCTTGCCCAAATGTGAGCGACTCCCACCTCTGGCGTCTACCAACGGTTCCTTTTCGAAAACTGTCTGCGAGGCGAGCGGAAGCACAAACCGTGGCACACTTTAATGAGGGCGCCCCACCGCCCAAGGGAGGCGCCGGCCTTCATCGTGATAGAGGGAAGAGGAGCCAAACGGACTTTTTACATCTGCAGCATCGGAAAAGACGCCCGCTACCACCTCAAGGCGAGTGTGCACGATCGCAAATGAATGGATTTGGATGTCAATGGCAAGGTGATATTCATTGGCCGTATACGCACACGCACACACAACTATATCTTCAAGGTTCAGGATGGGCTGCACGTGCAGTGGCCATGCGGTGGATGACAACTTTTACAAAAGAAAGAGCTGCTCCTTGGACACCCTGGCGTCAAATCACATGGTAAGTAGAGACAACTTGAAATCGGGGGTTTAAATGCTTTGGATTTTCCCTGAGCGATAGTTTTTATTTCGTTTGTGAAATTCACGTACTTTTTGTTGGTTTCGTTTTCATTTTGTCACTGAAAATGTTTTTCCTTTTTTTTTCCTTCAATTTTAGATTTCTAGTCAGCTTGCGTCGGACAATAATAACCTTGCTTGAAATGCAGTCGATCCCGTCGGCCTTCCCTTCAATTTCTTATCATCGTCATAAAACCTTTATTTGCTCTCCTGTCACGTTATGTGCCAAAGGGACCCGCTTGAAACTCGAGCAAAATATTGAATGCTGCAGACATTTCACACGATGAGATTTCCCGGTGACACTTCAACATCCGTATCAGTCATGCAAAAGTCAAAATAAGTTTTCTTGTTAAAGTGAGAATACTGTCTCGGTATGTCATCTTCCAAGTATTAACCAAAATAAAAACCTCTCTGTCGGCTGAATGTGCTGAAAATGCCCCCCCCCCCTCCAAAAAAAGAGAGAAAATTAAATAAGTAGGAAAAGCGCAATGGTGGAAACCAGTTGAAAAACATTTCAGATTTGCCATATTTCTTCTGTCTTCTAGATTTGGGGCGGAGAAACTTCCTGCGATAACGGTAAAAGCACAACAACACTTGACTGCATGCTTTGAACTGACTCTTCCATCTAAGCGGAGTCCATTTCGTCCGTGAGCATCTGCTGTTGCCCTCAAAGCGAGATGAGGCGCTTCTCCGGCGACTGCTTGTGACGGCTGCTGTTTATGGAGACGTGGGCAGCAAGGGAAGGAAACATTTATCTGAAATCGGTGTCGGAATTCCTTCAGCGCGCTTCCGTTTCAAAAGATGACTCCAGAAAGGACGGTGTAGCAAAAGCACCTACTCGATGTCTGCTTGAAGAATGACGCGATCGAAATGAATCGTGTCTGTCACACGGAGATAGCTTTTGTGTTGGTTTTACTGACACACGAGGCGGTTTTTGGTTGGGGGTGGGGCAAGTTGCCATCCCATACGGAACACATTAGGTAGGGGACAGGAAAGGCCACTGCCTGGCTGCAGGCGGTGGCCTGTGGCGTACACTGCGTCAAACTGCATTTCCAAAAACCAGCGAGCAATGTTGCCCTCTGCTAGCGAGAAAAGATTTCACGCATTTCCGTAATTTGGCCGGCCGGCGGCGAATGTGTTCAATGAGCCATGGATGCGCGCCTTTGTGTTCAGATGATGTCGTGTTCGTGGCGCAACATGACTTCGAGCCCACCAACCCCGGCGAACTGTCTTTCGGGAAGGGAGACCGATTCGAGGTGCTGCAGGAGTAAGTGGTCCTCGCGCGGTATGTCTGCACTCAAAAGTGAGATGCCAACATTTTGCCGTTTCCAAGGAACGGAGACTGGTGGCTGGCTCGCTCGCTGGCCACGGGAGACGAGGGCTTCATTCCGTCAAACTACGTCGCCCGGGCAGACAGCCTCGAGGTGGAGAAGTAAGTTCCAAGCAACATCCCTCAGGGCGAACAACCGCTCAAACGACCGGATACGTTCTAGATGGTTCTTCAAGGATGTGAGCAGGAGAGAGACAGAAAGGTTGCTCCTCGCGCCCGGAAACAAGCCCGGAGCTTTCCTCATCCGGGAGAGCGAGACGTGTCGAGGTGACCGCGCGTGACCGCCGACACCACAACCTCCTCCTCTGCTGTCTCAACGCTGACTTGTATCCCTCCCGAGTTAGGTTCCTTCTCGCTGTCCATCCGAGATTGCACAGCGGAGGCCGCCGGCGACGTGGTGAAACACTACAAGATCCGCTCTCTGGACATGGGAGGCTACTTCATCTCTCCGTCCAGCGCCTTCCCGTCCCTGCAGGAGCTGGTCAAATACTACACATGTGAGTGACACGTCGGCAGGATGGGGATTCCCAATCGCCCAGGTCATGGCCGGCGACAAAAACAGGCCACTCTCCACTCTTCTTGTCTCTTTGCCCGACTTTCTCGAGGAGGGGTGCCCATGCCTAAGCGCGGTCCTTCGGAGCCTCCCTCCTCCATCATCCCATCAGCGAGCTCCGCTCGCCATCCCGCTCAGTTCCATCAGGCGTGTTGGAGGAGGGAGACGTCGAAAATGGGCGCTGGAGGACAAGACTTGGGCACCCCTGACCGAGAGGCAGTTGTCCAAGTGGGAGGCAACATATAATGGGAAACCCCACAGAGCCAGACTTTCCCGTAAGCGGTCAAAGAACTTGGGAGTATGGCGTCTTTGCGTGTCCCGCTAGGTACGGCGGACGGTTTGTGCCAGCGTCTCTACGCCCCCTGCAAGAAGCAGCCACCCCAGCAGCCGTGGGCTCCGGACGAATGGGAGATTCCTCGCGAGACGCTAAGACTGGTCAAGAAACTCGGGGCCGGACAGTTTGGAGAAGTATGGATGGGTGAGTACAAATCCAAATCAAAAGGGGGGGGGGGGCAGAAAAGAAAGAAAATCCACACGAGCCATGTCGGCAACGTGGAAGAGTTTGATTTCCGACGTCAGGTTACTATAAGAACGCGCTGAAGGTTGCGGTCAAGACCCTGAAGGAAGGCACCATGGAGCCTCACGCCTTCCTGCAGGAAGCCAACCTGATGAAGCAGCTGCAGCACGAGCGCTTGGTGCGACTCCACGCCGTGGTCACCCGGGAGCCAATTCTCATCATCACGGAGTTCATGATCAACGGTAGGGCGGAATTTAGTGAGCTAGCTAGCCTTAAGCTAACACCGGCTAGGACCAAGCCGCGTGCGGGCCTTTCCTCCTTATCTGAGTGGCTTGGGAAAAGAAATGAGAAGTGGATGTTATTTGTCCCCGAAACACGTCTGATTATTATTTTTTTTCCCTTTCGGAAAGAGAACCCTAGCCCCGAGCCGAGAGGTGTAACAACATGCGCTATTTTCAGAGTGGTTCGTTTGTGGTGACCAATTTGACTTTTCGGCTGAAACGGAACACGAGCGCAGTTGCGCGTAATAATTGACGACGACAAACCATTGGTGTTTATCAATTTCCATGTGAGTTGTGCTTTTTTTTGTCATCTTGCAGGATGTCTGCTGGACTTTCTAAAAACAGATGAAGGAAAAAAGCTCAGGCTAAATAAGCTGATCGACATGTCAGCACAGGTGGGAAATTACAGTCTTATTTCATATTTGATTCCATCAGTGAAAGAGAGATTACAACACTAAAGCGTTTTCCCAATAATTTGCCGAGGGCTACTCCCCATTTTATGATCAAACGGACGTGCGTACAGCACACGTGTGCTGTACCAACAGGAGCCGTACGGTCTTTGCACTCTGGATTCATGATGAACCTCCGGAGAGGAAATAGTGTTCTTTTTTTTCCATGCAGACGGACTTCCCTCAAAAGAAAAATTCCCCTCGGCAAAAGAAAACGATTTGACTTCTTGAGAGCGAGAACAAACAACATGCCGCACATCCTTTGTGGATATGATCAGGCACATCCTTGTTCTAATTGAACTTCAGGCTGTGTCCGACGTTGTGCGCCGCCTCTTTCATTCAAGACAGATAGCCGAGGGCATGGCCTACATCGAGAGCAAGAACTCCATCCATCGGGACCTGCGGGCGGCCAACATCCTGGTCAACGAGACGTTGCACTGCAAGATCGCAGACTTTGGCCTGGCCCGGCTGGTCGAGTCGGAATACACGGCGCAAGAAGGCGCGTTCTTCTTTCCATTGTGCCAAATGTGACTTTTTTTTCTTTTAACTCTCGCTTGATGCCTGGCTCCATGTGGCTACGGTGAGGTTTTCAAGCAACTAGCCCAGAAATCTGTACGATCTGTCGAGGTTGTCTTGAATTGAACCGTCAGGCCTCAATAACGTGTGGGCTACTTGACCGTCCGTCTTTTGTGACCAGCAGGTGCGAAATTTCCCATCAAGTGGACGGCTCCCGAGGCCATCAATTACGGCACGTTCAGCATCAAGTCGGACGTGTGGTCGTTCGGAATCCTCCTGACGGAAATAGTCACCTACGGAAGGGTACCATATCCAGGTGGCCAAGGTTTACAAATGAAATCGACTGGTATGAAGTTGCAAATGACACACATTGGAACGTGGACATCTGCAGGAATGACAAACCCGGAGGTGGTCCGCAAGCTTGAGTGCCGCTTCCGCATGCCGTGTCCGGAAGGCTGTCCGCAGGAGCTCTACCACGTCATGACGGCCTGCTGGAAAGAGAGGCCCGAGGAGAGGCCCACCTTCGAGTTTCTGCAAAATGTCCTTGAGGATTTCTTCGTCGCCACCGAGGGACAATACGAGATGCAGACGTGACTTTGCAAAGAACAACATGCACGCACGCACGCACGCACAACACAAACCTTGAAAAAAAAAATCAATTTTAGTCACCAGAGTTGCTCGCTATGTATTAAAATGTGCAGACGGCAATAGATGTGTTTTGCTCGTCAAAGTCGGCTGTAACAGCTTTTACTTCCACCGACCGATCGGAGGACAGTGTGGATGGCTCGCGGCGGTCAGGGGTGAAAGCCTGCCATTTCCTGGAAGGACAGGAAACGGGAAATGCTTGTCAGCATTCCACAAATGCCATTCAAGGAGAGCACCCGCCACAAATATTTGTATGACTCATATCATGAACGCCATCAAAGGTTTTGGCAAGAACAGATTTCCTTGACAGGATCTGATCAGTGCTTTTCGTTGATTGTCCACTTGAGGTTTCATCATCACTCGAAAAGGGAAGTAAGACACAACTGGCACATTCGTTTCAAAAGAAAAGCGTCAGCTTCAAGAGGGTTGCAATACTCGTGTTCACCAGCAGAGGCCAGTGTGTCACTCGCACAATCTTATATCACAGAATGAAGCACCGTTTATCGCGTTTACTGTACAGTAGGTGGCGATATGCACCAAGGAGACGTAATCCGCCAAAACCTCGGAAGAACACGAAGAAGCCACACATCCGTTCAATGAGCACGTCTTCCTGCCACTACCGGCTGTGTTGTCAGTGAGTAATGTAGATATTTTTGAACTCGATTTTCCGTTTGACCGCATGTAAGCACACAATTTAGGAGCACGATTATGACACGTTTGAGTTTGTTCTTTGTTCAAATTAAAAATCCTGGACAATCAAAAAATGTGAAAACACGCATTTTATATATTTTATACTTTTTATAATATATGTTTTTGCTGTACAATGTAGGTTTCGTAGCCTTTTTGTTTGACTCCGCATGGCTCTTGTTTCTGTATATTTTGTGTTTCTCAATAAAGTTATAGAAAAAAAGTCAAACTTCCGGCTGTTCTCGGTGACAAGCTTTTACTCCAAATAATAAGGCAGTTAACCTAATTTAACTCTCGGTGAGAAGAACAACCGGCGCACTGTTTGTGTTATTAATAACACTAACAATTGTCAGCGCGGTCAGTCTTGTGGTCCCGCGAACAACTAACGAGACAAACTTCCCCGGTAGCTCCAGGAAAGGCGCTGTTCTCCACTTCCGCGTATCGGACGCCGCGACGTGGACCGGAGGAAATTGTTTTTTCTTGTGTCGTCTCCTGTTTGAACGACTACGGCGGAACTCGTCACATCTGTCGCTGCCTCAACTCTGGGTGGGCTCATTCGACAAGTTGAGTATCGTGCCTGTTTTGTTCGATTTCAAGCAGTAAAAACTTCGCGGAAAGTCAGCCAACGGCACGGTAACCTTCAGCGAAAGACGCCGCAATAGTCGTCGGCAGTTTAAAGTGCAGCTAAATGATTCACACTCGGTGCACAACGATTCATGTGTCAATCGGCTAGCAACTGTGTTGTTTTGCATAATGAGCGACCGAATTTTGCTTGCCGAATTCAATTTGTCAAAGCAGCCCGCGCCAATCACTCGTTAACGGTTAATATTACATCCGTTGCATACGTTTAGAACACGGAAGGACGCATGCATTTCAAATAATAACCGTGTACAGTATACAAAGTCCATACTAAACGAACACCTTTCCGATAGTGTCAAAATTGACAACTCAAAACTAACAAGTGTCAGCGAGTGTATCATATTGAATTCAAATGTGAAAAGGCAGCCTGAATGACCCTCAATCCAGCTACTTGGCTGTTTCTGCAGCACGATGAGTTTGCAGGAGATCTTTGAGAACATGAAGCTGGCCCGTGAATATGCTTTGCTGGGAAACTACAACTCGGCCAGTGTTCTCTATCAAGGCCTGCTCGAGCAAATCAAGAAACATATCTATATTACACGAGACCCCAGTCTCCAGCAGAGATGGCAGAAGGTAAATATGAAAAATGAGACCTGCTGGGATCCGTTCATCTTAAGTACGGACCTGAATCTGGTTTCTCTCTCCAGTTGTGGGAACAAGTTAGCGAGGAGAGCAGACAGGTTCAAGACCTCCTGTCGACACTAGAGAGCGTTCAACTGGACGCCATGCCCGTCAAACCAATTGAACCCGATGATTATGACATCAGGCCTGTGCCCGTTGAACCAAGGTAAGAAAGCATCATTGTAAAAGTACTTTGTGTGGAAGAAATGGAAACAGCTCTCTGTCATTCCGATAAAATAAGATCAATCCACCTTGCTTCAAATCTCCCAGCTGTCTGAAGTAGTTCATTCCGGTAACAGTGAGAGCACTTGAAGTAAAATATACCTTGGGAGTAACATTTCCTTTCTTTCTTTTTCATTCGCAGGCATTCGCCGTGTCCTGTCAGGCGGCCTACAAACCCTTACAAAGACAGTAAGCCAATCAACAATCGCCTCAGTGTGGCCGTGAAGGCCCAGCAGAGGCAGCAAAGTCGCGGGGCCAACGGGGACAGACACAAAGCCCCCAAGGCCAAAACAAAAGAAGCTGCTGGCAAAGCAAAAGACAACAAGGTGAAGCGGTTGCTGTTCTACTCTTAAGTTATCGACAAAAAAAAAAAAAAAAAAAAACATTTGAAATTAGCTGTTATTCTAGTTCTTAGAAATCATATTCATTTAACCCCACCCCCCCCAAATTGCACATTCAAAAATGATTGTGCTGAACGCAAGGTACTCCACTTTAAGCCTTTTCCGTTCTGCTTCAGAGAGCTGAGCCCCGCTAAAAGTTTCGAATGAGCAATTGTTCACATTGTCAGTTCAGGCAGAATAAAATGTTTTGCGTTGGCTTTTTTCCCAGAGCAAAGGAGATGGCCAGGAAAAAGAATTGAAGTTTGATGGTACCGGATATGACAAAGACCTTGTGGAAGCCCTGGAGAGAGATATCATATCTCAGAATCCAAACATTAAATGGTATGCATTCTTCAGTTTTTGTCTTGGTTGAAAGCACACGCTTATAGGTGCCGTCTCGGAACTGATGTGCCAGAACAAAGTTAGCGCAGTCAATCTGGTATTTACAATAAGACGGTGTGTGCGCCGGGGTACCACCAACAGCCACGCAAAAGGCATGACCCTGAAGAGTAAGTATTTGCTAATTCAGCTCATGTTTGCGTTCCAATTTAACGGTTAGCTTTTCTTAATGGATTGAATTTGCATGCGCGCTTTGAATTTGCAATCCTCATCCTCAAATCCATCAAAGTTGTGAAAATACGGTCGCTTAAATTTGACCGTTATCTTATTTCTAAGGGACGACATTGCAGACCTGGGTGACGCCAAAAAACTCCTGAAAGAAGCTGTTGTGTTGCCGATGTGGATGCCGGCCTTTTTCAAAGGCATCCGGAGACCGTGGAAGGTACTTAGCTTCGATGAAAAATGATGTGTCGATGACGTGTCGCTGACTTCAGTCCATAAAATTCTCGCCACAGGGAGTGCTCATGGTGGGACCTCCCGGCACTGGGAAAACCCTTCTGGCAAAAGCAGTTGCCACTGAATGCAGGACTACTTTCTTCAACGTCTCCTCATCCACGCTGACGTCGAAATACCGAGGAGAGTCTGAGAAGTTGGTGCGCCTTCTCTTCGAGATGGTAAGACTTTGGTCAAAGTGACCATCGGCTATTGATACCTAGCCGCTCTAAAGGATGGACTTGTTTAGGCCCGCTTTTATGCTCCCACCACGATCTTCATCGACGAAATCGACTCCATGTGCAGTCGAAGAGGGACCTCTGAGGAGCACGAAGCCAGTCGAAGAGTCAAGGCAGAACTGCTGGTGCAGATGGACGGTAAATGATTCTGTGAAGCCCCAACTGTTTGAACAGGTTTTCGTTCCGTCATCGTACGGATGTAAAATGGTTCTGCTTTCCATTGGGAGCCCAGAAAGTGAAGGCAGAAAGAGCTTTGTGTTGTGTTTGTTTTTCCCAGGTGTTGGCGGAGCTTCGGAAGGCGATGACCCATCGAAGATGGTGATGGTGCTGGCCGCCACCAACTTCCCGTGGGACATCGATGAAGCTCTGAGGAGACGATTAGAGAAGAGGATCTACATTCCCCTGCCCTCAGGTACATTTCCGCTTCGACGATCCGGTGGGCCCCCCTGTCCGGAGATTGGCTGCCACTGTGACAGGCCGGATCTGGCCCCCCAGGCCTTAATTTTGCTACTTGGACTGGCTGATAGTACAGTACACAATGTCAAACAATATTATAATGCTTTCTACACTAACCGCATAATGTGGGGCCATAGCTGGATTAACCCTGCAGCCCCCCCACCCCCGCCCAACGCAAATTGCCTTCCTCAGCTCCACATTCCTATCATTCTGTCTCTCATTTTAGTCAACCTTGAGTACAGTTCTTTGTATTTTCCACTGGGCCTCAGTAAACAATTTGTAATCCTGATGGAATTACTAGTCTTTAGGAGCACACTTAGGGATTTATTTAAGGATGTCCTCGGGTACCTTTTGTCACCAAATATTAATCTAAGCGTCACATACAAATGCACAATAAATAAATAAAAAAGTTGAGGGGGGCCATTTAGCATTGTCAGCCTTGGAATTGGATTTCATTCAGTGGTCGAAATGTACCTAATAAAGTGGTTCAAGTATATTTACACAAAATAGAAAGGATGTTTCGGTATCCAACACCTGTTTGGAGGAACACGTCGTGGTACAACTGTGTGCCCTCAACATTGCGTCCTCAGGAAAAGGCCGAGTGGAGCTGCTGCGGATTAACCTGAAGGAGTTGGAGCTGGCCAGTGACGTGGACTTGGACAAGATTGCTGAGCAGATGGAAGGTTACTCAGGAGCTGACATCACCAACGTCTGCAGGTGAGACGGAAATCTGTCCACCGGGCAATAAAACCACAATCTTAACAGTGGGAGCCAACTGCGCATTCTCTCCAGCGATTCTGAGATGTTGTTGTGTGCCCCCCCCTTGGCTCCTTGGCAGCGTTTGGGAATAAAAGCATTGTTTTGTATCACTGCAGGGACGCCTCCCTGATGGCCATGAGGCGACGAATCGAAGGGCTCACACCGGAGGAGATCCGCAACATCTCCCGCGATGAGATGCACATGCCCACCACCATGGAGGACTTCGAGTCATCCCTGAAGAAAGTTTCCAAATCTGTGTCGGCAGCGGACCTCGAGAAGTATGAAAAGTGGATCGAAGAGTTTGGTTCCTGTTGAAGGTTTGAGACTGGGCCGGGGTAGCATGACTTGCTCTTCATCTCTGTCTGGGCATGACAGAGAAAGGTAATTTCATTGTTCTTTTGTACATTAGTTAAAAATCTTCCGATAATTGTCTGTATTATTTTTAAGTTACGAATAACTGACATGCAGACATTTTTTTTTTTTGAAAAAAACAAAAAAAAAAAAACATAGACCTGACCAGATATTGCCGATTTGGTTTTGTGCCTTTGCAAATGCCTCGAATCATTGCGCGACACTATTATCCAACCACAACACTTCCAAAAGGTCACCTCTCGCTTGACACTTTGATGCACTTGCTTTTATATGGAACAGTGTGGTTCCAGTTGCAAAGAAAGCTATAAATCTATGAATAAAACTTTTTTTTTTAAATGAAGAAAACAAAAATGTGATGTTCAACTGGACTCTGAAACGTGTGCTCACAGGCTTCACATTTTTCTTCAGAAAATTTATTCGGGGCTTGTCCAGCACATTTTAGTGCCGATCAAGCTGATGTAGACAGAAATGTTTTGAGACACACCAATCCAGGTGCAGTTGGAAAACGTGCATTTCACACACACACACAAAACCAACTCATCCAACACTACATCCGACCACGTGGGACTGTGAAAAGGACATGAAATCGATCACAAAGCTGAGTGTGTCGTCCAACACTACATCCGACCACGTGGGAAAAGGACATGAAATCGATCACAAAGCTGAGTGTGTCAGGAATTCACAAGTATAGTAGGGGCTTAAGAAAAAAAAAACTCTTTTCAAGAGAAAACACACATTTTGTGGCACTGATTTGACCTGGTTATCTACGCAACAAATGTGTCAATTCATATAACTAATAACCTAAATAAACACAATGGTCTTGACATACACCGGTTTATCCACTCACCGACTCTCACATGAAGTACACGGATGATATCTAATCCGAGGCCGGATCAATTCAGCCTTTACAAACAGAACGACAGATTCATGGTTGCGGTGACCACAGTGCAGTCCAGCAGGAATCTTTGGGATGTTCTCATCCGCTCCAATATATAAGAATATGAAAGTGCATGCTCTTCGTCGGAAGTTGGCAAATAATCTTAATTTCGAAGATCGTAAATTGCGCCAAATTAAAAGCGGATTTTTCTTGGACATAAAATAATGTAATGAATAGATGGGTGACGTATCCATTTTTTCCCAATCGAAATCGGCAGCTGACAAACTTCTGTTCGTAGGAAAGCACTGTACCCAAGTGTTTGCATATTTCGCCACTCGGATGAATACGATTAATCAACGTGCAGTCAGCATGCTTTGCTTCTCCAAATTCCACACGGCACAAAAGAAAATGAAGAACTGGCAGGACAGTCCTCATTTAATGCCTCACTCATCCTCTTCTTCTAATTCTGTGTTCTCCAGGAGAATGTGCTTCTCTTCGTCCGGCCTCAGACTCAATGTGTTTAGATGACAAATCTGCCTGTGAGAAACAAAAAAAGCTGACTTTAGCCAGTGAACCTCAGAACATGTTAAAATGTGTACTCGTTGTTCGGAGCAGATTATCTAGCAGCTCACAGTCGGGGAAAAAAATAGACCTTTAACCAAACTCACTTTTGTTCACGAGTTGGGAAGAAGCAGTCCAATATCTTGACAATGACTGCTGATCCAGCAACACCAATGACGACAACCCCCATAACCAGGAAGAAGAGAGGCAGTGACTCGGCGCAGAAGTGTCTCAGACGGGCTCTGATTTCTTCCACCCAATGACACATGGCCTGATGAGATAGAAACAGTAAAACAAATCAAGTCGACGCACAACACATTGACATATTTACTCACAAGGTTTTACAAATAATTTTTTTTCCCCCATCAGAATGCCATGTTTAGTCTAGTGGGGCTGCATAGAACATTTTGGTAAAGACAAGCTTTGACTTGACTTCCCCTTTAAAGACAGCACTACGTCAAAAGGTATCTACGCACCGAGTACGAGAGGAATTGTTTTGGTGAACTCTCAGTTGGAATCTGGTCTTGCTGGCCCAGGTCTCCATCTTCGGCTTTTTCAGATTTGATATCATTCAAGAGGTCAGGGTCCATGCGAAGCGGCGTCTCTGGTAGTTTTCCCGGAGCTGCAATCTCTTCTTGTGTCGTCTCGGAGTGTTTTAGTGGGTACTGACTGGTCGTCTGTAGCATCATTTGCTCCTCTGATGATTAAAAAAAAAAAAAAAAAAAAAATTGTCAGTTGATTGCCTGTGACCAATGTGTGTTCACCATACCTTTGATAGGGTTTGTTGGATCTGTGACGACCACGTCATCATCTCTGGAAACTTTGAAGATCTCGCTGTGTCCGATGGGGTAAATGTTGGTAAATTGAGCCAGCTTCTGGAAATCTGGGCTCATCAGTATTTTCACCTCACACATATCAGGCTGCTGAACCTACAAAATACAAATTTGGTGGAATCATTTCTCGCTTTCCTTCCACTTTAATTGATTCAGAAATAGACCGTTTAAATCAATGAAGGTGACAGTCTGATTTTATTCTATGCATTCATCTGTCGTGGCAAGCGGCGCTGCCTCAACCTCAAACCAAAAGCACTCGTCACCTAGTAAAGGCAGCCCCTGCTTTCTATCAATCTATCTACAAGTAAAACATAAGCAAATACAATTGGACACAAGATCTGAAGCATGTTGACGACCTTCACGTTATATGATGTGTACCTGTTTGCCCTCCAACTCAATGACTTCACTAAACACCTGCAGGGCCACCAATTCTTCCAAGTCACTAGAGAGTCGGTTCTGAGTCACCATAACCCGGGTAACGGTTGACACCAGGTCCCCGCCTTCATACTCCCTGCTTCCATTGGTGCTATCCACTGACAAAACAAGTAAACCAGAGGCATTAGTGTTCACGGTGGGGAAAGAACATGATTTTGGTGGGACGTTGACTTACAGAGCACTGCTTGACAGTTGAATCTGGTCACCCCCGACAACTGAACAGGAACATCATTTACCAATACCTCCTCCTCGCTCACCGATATGTTTAAAGTAATCTGAAACAACAAAACAGTTTTGTCAGATGGGTAATTGTTAAGAAACCAGAAACTGAATGCACTCTACCTGCAAGTTGTTAGACTCTTCTGTATCTGCCAGTGCGCCTGCTGTCACATTGATCAGGATATTTTCCTGCAATAATCAATATATTAGTCACCAAGATTGTGATACATAATACCAGCCCAGAGCCATCAACAAAATTTTCTGATTCCACTGCTTAATTGAAGTCATACCTCCATCAGTTTACTCAGAAACAAGCGTTGAGTTTTTGGGTTTTTTTTTTGCACTGTTGGCTCGCAAACTGTTTATTGTCACATATTTCCAATGAACTCCATTTCACACAATTAACCACTTTTTGAGGCGAGGAATCAACGGACTTAAAGGCTAACACGTAAAAACAAAACACAAAAGGGGTTGACCTTTAAAATACAGACCGTAACGTCAATGTCAGTAGTATAATAGTGTTTACCAGCATAGTTCTTACCGCATTCAGTGTTGACTCGGTATGCTTTGTATTGACAAAAAATAGAAATATTACAAAAAGAGTCGGCCCTGCCATGCTAATTCCCGTCAATCTTTTTTTAGCAGTACAGTACGATCGCGCAGTTGACAAGGAAGTAGGAACAGCGCACGCGCGTGAACTTGCGATCCCGTTCTTTTCTCGCGAGACCGTACATGTTGGAATGGCGGTCCTTCTTGAAACGACGCTCGGTGATATTGTGATTGATTTATTCACAGAAGAAAGGCCAAAAGGTAAGCAAAATCGTGTCCGTTTTTGAAAGCATAGGCGGTCATATGATAATCCCTCAATAAATTATCGGGAAGCTTTCATTTATTTGAGAATAAGCACGTGCGGGCTGTAGCCGTTAGCTTGCTCGCTACTTAGTCAGTAAACGCCAAATCAACAACACACCGTTGAAGCCTTTCCTCCTTTCGTCAGCCTTAAGAAAAAGAGCGGAAAGCGAAGAGGTTTTCGAAATGTAACGACCAAAGTGAACTATGTGTGTTTTGTCTTCAGCTTGCCTCAACTTTCTGAAATTATGCAAGATAAAATACTACAACTACTGCCTTATCCACAACGTACAGGTACGTGCGAGCTCTTCCTATGAGTGAAGCCTCGAGAAAACACAACAAAAGTGAACCAAGATGTGTTTCCCTACCAATTTATTTGCCCCCCCTTTTTTTCCCTCTTAATTTTCTTTTATCGTTTATTTACTTGCAGAGAGACTTCATCATCCAAACTGGGGACCCCACGGGGACGGGTCGGGGTGGAGAGTCGGTCTTCTGGTGGGTCATGTGAATCTCCTATTTCTACCTTTCTTCACCACCGCACGTTGACAGCAGTGCCCTCTTTTGTGCGCCATTAGCAAACTGTACGGAGACCAGGCCCGTTTTTTCGATTCCGAGAAAGCCCCACGTATTAAACACAGAAAAAAGGGAACGGTGTCCATGGTTAACAATGGAAGTGACCAGCATGGTTCACAGGTGAGTGATAAAAATTGCGGCTGAGATAATATTTTGTATAAAACAGGGATAAAAGTTGTCTGTTTTCTTCTTTCCAGTTCCTTATTACCACTGGCGAAAACCTGGATTACCTGGATGGGGTGCATACTGTTTTCGGGGAAGTGTCAGAGGGATTGGACATTGTGGCTAAAATCAACGAGACTTTTGTTGACACAGACTTTGTTCCATTTCAGGACATCAGGTGAGTTGCATTGTGACTCCAAGAAATGTCTTGTTCATGTTGGGCATTCCTTCCGATCGAACGAAGCTTTATTGATGCCGTGTCGCGTTAGAATAAACCACACGGTGATCCTCGATGACCCTTTTGATGACCCTCTGGATCTCCCGGTGCCCGATCGCTCTCCTGAGCCCACCAAAGAGCAGCTCGATGTGAGTGCGGGATTTTTGGTCTACTTTGTTGCGAGAGTCCTGCAAATTTGACATACTTGCTGGAGATGCCATGACAGTGATGCCGGCGGTCACGTTTACGTTACGTTTTACACACCCACTGCCAACTTAATGCTTATTTTATGTGGGTGAAGAGCGGCCGGATTGGCGCTGACGAAACGATCGACGATGCCGACGGGAAAGCGGCTGAAGAAGTGGAGGAGAGACTTCAGGAGAAAGAAGCCAAAACCCGAGCCATCCTGCTGGAGATGGTCAGGAGAGCCTCGATTCCCGAGTGAAGTTACTCGAGCCGCATCGTCACGCTTGCGTTAAGTGTCCGCCTGCCCTTCCTCCAGGTGGGCGACCTCCCCGACGCAGACGTAAAGCCTCCCGAGGATGTGCTCTTTGTGTGCAAGCTGAACCCAGTGACCACAGATGAGGATCTGGAAATCATCTTTTCTCGCTTTGGCCACATTAAAAGGTCAATCAAGTTTCTTTGAACATGGGCACACTGTGCACATATACTGTATGTTGCTTTTCTTAAGTCCTGTCTTTGGTTCCGTTTTGTGCAGCTGCGAAATCATTCGTGACTGGAAAACTGGAGATTCCCTCTGCTACGCTTTCATCGAATTTGAAAAGGTGAGCTTCATCTGTTGCTCACTGGCACGAACGGGGCCATCAATTTTTTTTTTTTTGTCGGTTCCGCGACTTGACAGCAAGAAGACTGTGAAAAGGCCTACTTTAAAATGGATAACGTGCTCATCGACGATCGGCGCATTCATGTCGATTTCAGCCAGTCTGTGTCAAAGATCAAATGGAAGGGGAAAGGTACTCCTTGCCGCATGCGCTCGATCTGATTATTATTTTTTAAATGTTTTGCACGAAGCAACCATCCTCCTCATGATGCCTTATAGGTGGGAAGTACACCAAAGAAGACTTCAAGGCTTATGAGAACGACTTGGAGAAGCGCTCCAAACTGACTCTGAAAGATCAAGCGAAGCCCAAACAAGAGTATCCTCACCTGTTGACTTGGGATGCTTTACTTTGGTCATAATTTGATTTGGACCATAATAGCTCCCCTCTCGTCATGGGTTACCATGAGCATATTTCAGCTTTCCCTAACCCCTCCAAAAGTTCCCGATATGACCTCCTCGGAGGAGGCGCCGGGACAGAAAAAACATAAAGAGAAGAGACATCATCATTCGGATGCCGAAGAAAGCAAGAAGTCCAAAAAACACAAGGTACCGTCCGTGCAAAACTCAACCCGATATACACATGTGGACAAAATGGTTGGTTAGCCTCCATAAACTCTTTGGACGTCAGCCATTCATCACAAGCCAAGCGTGCCGGGCTCTAGTGCTGGGCACGGAAAAGGCGCTGTTGAAAAAAATTCCAATAAAGAATGTCCAACGCCCGGTGCTTTCTGAAGAGCAAGTACAGTACACGTTTGACGTGTGCCGGTTAGTGGAACGAGTCGCATGAAACAAGAAATGGTGGTGCCACGGCTTAGCCATCTGTATTTGCAACGCATTGAAAAGTTTGCATTTCAGTGGACAGCAGCGGCTATGTTAATATTTGATGCATGCTGCACCACAAGCAACAAAAATGATTGATTGCAAGATTAATTTTTTTCTTGCCCCTCCCCAAATGGTTTGAGCCATTTGTTCACTAAAGATTGCACTCCAGATAACGTGGGCTTTATTGTAGCTGTAAGCAGAAGTTCGACTCTTGCCCCGGCGTGTAAAACACGAGCTCGTCCCTGTGCTTTATCTTGCGTACACTTCCGTGTTCCTTGTTTTACAATTGCGTGATATTCAGCCTTGAGGGTGCGTGAATTCGCTCGAGCTCAGGGGTGCCCGACCAGTTGATCCCGATCGACCGGAAGCCTGCGGACCGGTCCCGAGTCCATCGCAGGGAGTCTAGGATCGCCAAGGTTGGTTGACTTGCAAAGTAGATCGTCGGTCCAAAAAGTTGAGCAACTAACTGGTTCCCTTTAGCTCGCTAACACTCGTTGATGTGGACATCCGCCGAACAAAGCCAAGTTATTGCAACCTGCCGATTGAAACCAGCATTTTATGATGCGTATCAAAGTCTGAAACTGAGGGTACCGACAGCGTTCGGGATTGCCAGGGGAATACGCAAACAAGGATAGAGAGCCATCAAGAACTTTCTTCTTTGCTTCTGCATATATCTGAATGCAAGTGCGAGTCACCATTCCCCAAATTCACATTCCACCTTTTCTCCCCTGCCGGCTTGCAGATTCCAACCGTACCACTTGTTAATCCATTCTCTGTATTGTCATCTCCCCAGGACGACGATGGCGGCCGGCGGGACAGAAAGATGGACCGGCAGCGCTCCCGCTCCCGAGACAGGGAACGCAGGCATGCCAAATCCAGGGACAAATACGTGAAAGGCGGGCGGGACAGGAGTCGGAGGAGTCGCAGTCAGTCGCCCAGGAAGTCCAAGGTCCAAGACAGAAGCAGATACAGATGAACTGCATACACTTCGTATGTCCTCATTATCAAACGGCAAAAACGATTCCGCCTCTTCATCTTATGACATATTTTCTTACATAGGGAACACGCGCGGCACGTATTTGAATGAAATCCCTCGCCATTGAATTTCAGCGAGGTGTGCTGAGCATTCACCTCCACTATATGGACAAAAGTATTCCACTGTCTGCGAAGTGCGCTCAGTTCAGCCGTAACGGCTTTCGGGAAGGTTTTTCGACACCATTTCGACCCCCCCCCCCACCCCCATACCATTCAAGGTTTTGAAAGGTCATGTAAAACGCGTAAAAACGTGAACACACTCATATCCAGGTTACCATTTTTCGAAGCAGAATATTTGGTCATGAGAGCCTATCTAGTGACCTCATTGTGTTTGGACAGCCGGCTAACTACTTGCTCCTCGTTACATGTGACCACCGTACCTGTCATGTTGCACCGGCGCATTATTGTGAATTTAAAAAAAAAAGCTTGATTGAAAACTATTTTAATGCATTTGTGGTGCATATTTTTTAACCGCATAAAATGAATGAATTCCTTGAAGTCATCTCTCGCTTCACGGACTTCTATCCGAATGGACGAACAAAGCCGTTGACTCGCCGTCGGGAGAAGGGAAGCCACTGGCGGCCATCTTGCGTTGCCACACGGGCCACCAAACTTGAACGCATTCATTTATCCGTCGCATTTTCACGTTCCTTTCTGTCTTTGTACCATACATTCTGGCTGGAATGCACCGTGCATATTTCATCAGTGACAGTGACATTTTAATTCTTCTCTTCTCAGTTATCTCACCGCCTCGCAGGTTAGAACCGAACGTGCTGGAAAGTGAAGCGTTAATCTAAAGAGAGGCATTTATTTGACTCATTAAATGTGCATGCGATTGTCCAAGACTGATTGGCATCAACCGTGAAAACGCAGTGGAGAAAGTCGTGTGTTCAGGTTACGAGCTCTGCGTAAGTGGCAATCCAAAACTCGGTGGGTTTATCGACGTCGAACGTAAGAAGCGCAAATGTAGGTTGTGACGTTATCCCCGCGTCGCGGTTTTCGATCGGGATATCCCAGTTGATCACAATTAATGTTTACACGCGAGTGGCTCACGCACGCAAACCGGTTCTTCCAAATGTTTCGCAAACCAGAATGGTGACCTTAAGACGAACACCAACCCGGTCGTCATTGCTGATGCTGTTGGATTTTCCTCTCATAGGAAGCAGCAATTCACAGGAGGCGACCCATCATCGGTCGACCATGAATACAGACGGTGGACGGCACCGAGCGTAATAGCGGCCCCGCCCCTTCCATAAACTCTTCTTCTTTTCATATTTCCAGACGATTTCTTTCTGAACTTTACATGCAGTGAGTTGAGTGGTGAGTCATATTCCCCAAGTATGTTGCGGGATCGCTGAAATCTCGTCCGCATATCTGGAGCGGCCATTTCAATGAGAGGAAAGCTTTTCATGTTTCACCTCTCTTTGTCTTTCACTCCCACGCTAATCGGAGTCGGCTGTGGGATAATAATAGAATCCATTGTGAAACACAACACTTACACAAATTACGAGTAGGTTTTGCTCCAGGAATTACGAGCAGCCAGACTTAACCAACCACCCCCAAAAAAAATACAGGGCTGTTTTTTGTCTTCTGTTTTTGATCCAGTCCGGCCCCTTTTCATGCAGTCTAATTGAATCGCATTGCTGAAACTCCGTCTGAGAACGTCACATTCGCTCGCGCTGTGAGTTCTTCGTCCTGTCAAATACGTCTGCGCTCATTCCTAACCAATAAAAGTTCATATTTTGATTTGACTTTGGTGTTGTGCGCTTTTGCCGGGTTTGTCCGCAGTTCACAAACTAAAGTTCAAACGGCTCACGGAACAATGATTGAAGTTCCACAACCTGTTCCCCATTTCAAGGTGTATCAGCCAGGAAAGTGGCGCTCTTTTAAGCACCGCCAAAACAAAACAAAAAACAAAACGCCATGTGTCATGTTGGAAACAAAACACTGACGCTCCATCTTGCCCCACCGTCCATCTCTTCACACGCTGTCAGGGGAAACTAACTTTGTCGCAACCTTTATTCTTTCCAAAATAAGTTGCGACGATCATCTAAAGATGCCCGGCCAGCTCAGTGCTAGAATTTGTGTCTCGTTTGTTGGGGAAGGAACCGCGAACTGGAAAAATGGATGCCTCACCAAAAAGTCATGCAAAAGGTTTTTGTTTTGGTTTCTTTTTTGCCCCTAGTCTACTGTTGTACTACAATTAACTATTCCAACCAGTGCCCCCTACCATTATAACATATTGTATATATTTTTTTTTTAAATGAACACTTGATGTTTGCCAATGCATTGCTTATTTTGTCATTCACTACAACTTGACTCCACAAACAAACACTGTGTGAGCACGACACAGCAAATCAGATGAACGCTCTGGAGGACTTTGACATCCCGCTCGCGAGATAAGAGTTAAAGTGCGCTTTCATTGTGAGTCAACTACTTCCCTGTCTTTGAGTAGGGTAAACTTTGCCTGGGGATCTTTTCTGTCTTTGACAGTCACGCCATACTTTCACCTCAGAAAAGAAAAGAAAAAAGAACCTACAACTCCAGTCCGATCACTTCTCGATTCAGGAAACTTCCCCACTCGATGAGCTTGTGAAACAGTCATGGGAAAGCCAGTTGGAAATGGAAGCTGGTTCTCGGCCCCGCTTGACCCTGACCGGCAAACGCGCTTTTTCATCCTTGAATCCACTGAGGGAAGGGCAACGACGCAGCCGTCGTTTTCGTTTCCAACGTGTATATTTCATGTCTTTATTCACTTGTGAAATTTGCTGACCCTCCGTCCGTCCGCGCGGGGGCTCATCACCTTCCGCCCCAAGTTTGAAAATCCTGGCTCGGAGGGAGCGAATGACTGCGGTTGTATCAGCATTGCCGTGCCGTTTGAAGAAAAAGACTGAAGTCTGGTAAAACAGTCTTTGTTGTGGTTTCAATTCAAAATAAGAAAAAAAAAATCAAGCAAACCAGTTCCGGGTGAGTTGCAACCTTTCAGTAAATGTTGATGGCACCCTACCAGGAAGAGCTCAAAGGGAAAATAAACCCCTCGGGCCGAGTCCTGACGAGGAAGTGAGTGCAAATTTGCTTTTCTTTTTTTTTTTCCTTCTTCTACCGCTCTCAGCAGCTACTTCACTTGTGAAATTTGCTGACCCTCCGTCCGTCCGCGCGGGGGCTCATCACCTTCCGCCCCAAGTTTGAAAATCCTGGCTCGGAGGGAGCGAATGACTGCGGTTGTATCAGCATTGCCGTGCCGTTTGAAGAAAAAGACTGAAGTCTGGTAAAACAGTCTTTGTTGTGGTTTCAATTCAAAATAAGAAAAAAAAAAATCAAGCAAACCAGTTCCGGGTGAGTTGCAACCTTTCAGTAAATGTTGATGGCACCCTACCAGGAAGAGCTCAAAGGGAAAATAAACCCCTCGGGCCGAGTCCTGACGAGGAAGTGAGTGCAAATTTGCTTTTCTTTTTTTTTTTCCTTCTTCTACCGCTCTCAGCAGCTACTTCCTCCTCTGAGTTATAAGAGTTGCTCACTATGACGGCTGCGTTGCTCAGAGCGCCGAGGCACAGCAAGCCATCGAGACGCTCCAAATCGGCTCTGTCACTCGGCCTATGTTCTCAGATGGAAGGTCTTCACCAAATTCCACTCCAAAATCGTTTGATGGAATTCTTTTCGACGTGAAGCCGAGTCCGTTTGGGAGTTGTCATTGTTGTAACGGTGAGTTGGGGTCACGTTACGTGTCGTGTACATGCGGCGCCGGGAGCCAAAGTGAGCGAGTGTGAGCGCATTGAGGCCACTTTTGCTTTGGGTCGGGATTTTTCCCCGCGGAATGTCTTCATGGAATTGTTTGCGGCTAGAAAAGCCAACATTTTTTCATGCTTTTGTGTTCCTCATACTTGAAATGACACAGAGCACGCGCACTCGTGTCAAATGCTTCAAGCCGGATGGCAAGATTTTACCTGGGAGATGAGAACAGGATTTGTTTTTGTTGTTTTCTGTGTTTGTGCAGTGAAACAGTCGAGTCATCATGTCGCATGGCTTTTGTTTTGACAAAAACAAAAGCGGCTACTTCATATTTGGCTAATGACATGATCTTGTATTGATCAGTGGCTGCATCCAAGCCCGCATCAAACAATTCCAAGCATGGATTGTTTGATTAAAAAAAAAAAAAGAATTACAAAGAAAACCACTTTGATTTGGAGAAGAAGCCGTCAAAGTGACAAAAGTATTGGGACAAAGTATTAGTGCATCTTAGAAGAAGTTTTTTTTTAAAAATGGATAAGCCGTAACAGCATCTTCACTTCCTGGAAGACTTTGTACAAGATGTTGGGCCTGAAGGGAGTCTGCTGCTTTATCATTTCTCTTCTAATTCATTCCAAATCACGATTGCACTTTTTGTGTGGTCGGGTAAATACCTTTGGCACACGCCCCCCAAAAAAAAAACAAATACAAGCGGATCTCGGCTTGCGACGATTCTGACATGACATGTGAATGGCGCCCAAGAAACTCGTTGAGCTGATGGCCCACAAGCCCCGTTGACAGTCTTGACAAGCTCATTCGAACGCATGTGAGCCCAAAAAAAAGTCTGGAACTGAGCCGCACCATATCGAATGGAATTCTTCACTTTGAACCGTTCCGATACGCAGGCCGATCGCCGCGGAGGAAGCGAGCGTTAGAGGGTTCCGACGGTGCGAGAAGAAGATTCCGACATCTCCATGGAGCGCCGAAAGCAGCACGCCAAAGTGGAGCGTTTTCTCAAGCTGGGCTACTCGCACGAGGACATCGATAGGGTGCTGAAGAGCCTCGACCATGACGCCCAGACCAACGACATTCTCGAAGAGCTAATCAAGACCTGCCGCGTTCGCAGTGACAGAAGCGTCTCGCGCAGCCCCAAGCTGGTGTCGAGAGGCTGCAGCCCCGGACCCGCCACGCCGGCGCCGGATCAAGACGGCGCTCTCGCCTTCAGGCCGGTCGTCTTGGATGGAAGCAACGTTGCCATGAGGTGAGTCGGCTCCTGCGAGATGCTTTCCCCTTTGTTGTTGCGTGCGCCCAAAAGCTCCGGAGGAGGCGCAGCGGCTTGACAAAAATGCTTGCGTGTCCCCTGATTGGATGCTGACCCACCCTTGCTCATAATATAATAATATACGCTCTTCGTGTCCAGGATGACCATTTATTTTGATGTCGGACCCTACTGAAATTTCTCGTGAACGTTTTCACCAAAGTCTCACGTGGAGTTGTTCGATCCCACTTTATATATATATTAAAAAAACGTCATTAAATGTAATGTGAAAGCATTAAACAGTTTGTGGATTATGATTTCATCCTTCAAGTCATTCCGCTTCTCCTTCCGCTGCGCACACCTTGGCCACCGCGGGCAGTATCGTCCAGTCAGACCGACAAAACTCAGCGCAAAGTGGCTCTTCTTCGCATTCACGTTGTCTCCATTCTCGGCGACTTCCAAAATTTGCCGTGTGGTGTTGCTCTTGTTTTGGAGAGGAACAACAATATATGCCTGCGAGTTCCCTGATCATGTGTGTCTACATGCGTTGCTCTGCCCTTTGCCTCAAGAGTTCAAAAAGGTGACTCGCGATGCTAACGGTTAGCATGTCAACGTCGTTTTTCAGTGCACGTTAGCCCGGCTTTTGTTTCAGGTGCTATTTTGGTGTCATCCTCCTTTGTTTTCTATTCAGTTTGACTGCAAACTTAAAACGGAAGTGGCATTAAACAGCTCGGAGCCTCTTTTACGTTGAGAAGAGTTCACCGTTTGTCAAAAGTGCCGCCGAATGCGCAGTGAGTGCAATCGCGGCCGCCATTGAATGCTCTTATCTCAAATTCACGAAAAACTCGTAGGTCGGGTCACTCGTACCCAAGGTACCGCTGTGTGTGTACGTTTTTAATTTCCAGCTAACGACGCAAAGATAATTTGCCATGTCGCTAGTTGAAGCTCGTGTCACAGTGGGTAGTTATTCATCCCAGTCGGTGGAAATGTTTTTCCTGAGTTGCTACTTTTAAAAGCGAATACAGAGCTAAAAGTGGGATCACTATTTGGCACGCGGGCCGCTATATTTCGATCAAAGTAATCACAGGTTCACAGACATGATAATTGGGGGTTTTTTGTTCTTTGTGAACTTGCCTTATATCCGTTTCAGTGTTTGTTCTTTCAGTTCATATCCAACTTTGCTTCCTCTTTACAGTAGCAGGAAGTGAAAACATGTTGTTTGCTTCTATTTTTTTTCTTCAAGCGACTGCACAGGGGAAAGCGTCACTTTTAAGTCGCCGACGCGTTCCATCAACCGTCTCACAAACAAACATGTAACACAACGCTTGTAACAGTTGTGTCTGCGTGATCAACATGAGCCAAACAAGGAAGTTGTTGGGAAAGGAGCGCCAAATTGTTCTCGGTCACACCTTTATGCTTACCCGACACCTTCATGATAAGGAAGAACCGAAGCAATTGCAACTATTTAGAGAGATGCACATTGAACACATTATTCTTGAACCTTTTTTTTTGTCAAATGTAACAGCGGCAGTCACAAACCATGGAAATACTTACTGTAACGCATTACAATGGGGTGTTCTTTTACGACGTTCCCCAGTATGAAAAGGTGGAACAAGCATTTGCATGTGTTCCCCTACTTCAATAATGAATCTGGCCTCTGCCTCTTTGAAATTGTGCTCATGCCCTTGACCCTCTCGCTTTTGCTCTTGAACGTCCACGGGGAGCTCAGCATTCTTTAGAGCTGGAGGAACTTTTGATTTCACTTTCAAGTATTTAAAGACATAGCTGTGTAGGGGCACGCCGGACCGCCATCGTTGACAGGAGGACTTTGTTTTTGCCATTGTCGTCAGCTGTTGCGATTGAGACGATTCAACGCAACCAACGCAAGAAATCCTGCAGTGCGTCGTCACTCTTTTTCAACGCAACGTCGTCGGACACACCACGCGGGTGCAAAATATCATTGGAAACACAATATCGTGCCCCATAAAATGTCCATTCTGCTGGTGTGGATGCATGTTCAAACTGTGAAGAAGCAGTGTGTCATCTCATTTTGTTGTTCTGCTTTTATTTATCACTGACTATGCTAACCTGCGACCTAGCGTGTTATATTTTGTGTCCCATCATGTGAAAATGCGAGTTGGTCACTTCTTGAATCTTTCAATCAATTCAGCTTGACCTTTTTTGGGATGGATTCCTTTACTGGTATTTTGCAGAAGTGTCACTGTTGAGCTGGCTGCTGCCTTATTAAAAGAGGAAGCGCGCATATATATAAATATATATATATATATAGTTTTGTGCTTTTGTTGACTGTGTGTGTGTGTGTGTGTGTGTGTGAAGCCATGGAGACAAGAAGGTGTTTTCGTGTCAGGGCCTCCAGATGGCAGTGAACTGGTTTTGGGAAAAGGGACTGCGAGACATCACCGTGTTCGTTCCCATGTGGAGGAAGGAGCATCCGCGCCCCGAGGCCCCGATCGCAGGTAGTCACATGACCCGTCATTGCAACATGACAGCCGTTTTTTTTTTTTTTTTAAAGCAAGAATTTTCAAGCCTGACTGCACCCACCTGTGAAGTGACGGCAACGCAACCACAGAATCTGGAGGCATTTTGTTTTTCTTTCGACTGCCGTCAACTCCAAAAGCAGTACTTTCCAGGACCCCCCCAGGCCCCCCAAAAAAAAGACATTTGTTGAGTCATGAACATGCATTGTCAAAGAGATCAAGTCATTTTCAACACTTTATATTGGTCAATAATTTCCATCCCAAAATAAATAAATTAAAAACAACAAAACAGACTCACAATTAATTTGTGGGGAGGAAAAAAAAAAATCTAAAATTGACCAAAATTGTACGTCCGCCTGACAGTGACAATATTTATGACTCTAATATCCGGGTACATCTGTCAAAGTGGTCGACCTCCACCATCGTTCTTGAAAGAACTTGCAGGAGAATGACGGCGCAGCATCGCACACAGAAAAGGTGATTTGAGGCTCCCGCGCTCTCCTGTGCCTGACAGATCAACACATCCTCCACGAGCTGGAGAGGAGGAAGATCTTGGTGTACACGCCGTCGCGTTGCGTGAACGGCAAGAGGGTGGTGTGCTACGACGACCGCTACATCGTGAGGCTGGCTTACGACATCGACGGCATCATCGTGTCCAACGACAACTACCGGGACCTTCAGATGGAAAATCCCCAGTGGAAAAAATTCATCGAGGAGAGGCTGCTGATGTACACCTTCGCCAATGACAAGTAAGAGCCGTGCCGGCAAACGCTTGATTTGGAGACCGGGGCCACGGCGTCAAGCCAATCCCAATTGATCCCGCCCATTCATTTGCGCTTCGACAGGTTCATGCCTCCAGATGATCCTTTGGGTCGAAACGGCCCCAACATTGATGATTTCCTCCGAAAGAAGCCCAAAAATGTGGACAACAAACTGCAGCACTGTCCTTACGGTTGGTCCAAAGTCCCCCGTGTTCACGCCGTTGACTGCAACCTCGTCCGACCCATCGGATGAGATCCAAAGCGCAATCGGCATCCGAAATGCTGCCTTCGCGTTGCTCGGTGTTGATCGTAGCGGTCGGAGTCTGGAGAGATCGAGCGATATGTTGCGTACAAATCGCGCACACTGTATGGTCATGAGCAGCCGCTCTCACGAGGCTTTGGCAATGTCACGCAAGTCGTGACTGACGTGCGCGCCTGCTTTCTTTCAGGCAAGAAATGCACATATGGCGTCAAGTGCAAGTTCTACCACCCCGAGAGGACCAACCGATCGCAGCTGTCTGTGGCCGATGAGCTCAGAGACCGAGCCAAGACGTCCAACTACAAACCGAGCGCGCGAGGCCCGCCCGCGCATCCCCCCTCCCCTTCCCCCTCCATCAACGCCGACGAGCCTCTGCACAGTGAGCATTCCGTCTCTCAGAGAGACGGCGGCAGCCCCCGAGGTCCGCCGCGCCCGCCGGCCTGGCCGAACGCGGAAGCGGACGAGGCCATCGGCTCGCTGGACAGCTGCGTGTCCAGACTCTACATCCCGGATGGGCCCCACAACACGAGCTGGCCCCCCTACAGCTACAGCAGCGGCGTGGCCAGCTGGAGCCTGGGCCACGACGACTACTACTCCCTTTCGGGCTCCCACGGCGGCACCGGTCAAAGCTTTGCGAGAACTTGCTGCTTTCCTCACAATAGCCGCGAGCGATCAGCGTGCGCCCACTGCACGTGCGGTCGCTATCCGGCCGGGGCGCCCCCCGGCGCCCGCCCCCCCGCATGGGCCTCCTGCCCGGCCGCGCCCCTACATAGAGGTCACTGAATTGATCGCCCTGATCCAGAGCTACAGGAGTAGCCGCGTTGCCCTCTGATGCCACACGCGCATTTTGGGTCACGAAAGAACACACACGGGGGGTGTCCGATTTGGTCAGACTGCAAATCCGTCTTGCCTTAGGAAACCCTGGAAATCGACTCCAGCCGTGCCAGGGTCAGAATGTTGCGATCGCAAGACTTTATGAATGTGTAGCTCATGTCTGGAAGTCGGTGGTTCATTCTTAATCGTCATGTACAAAGAAGCTTTGTCGTTTGAGGGCCGCATGCAGAAATACGGAAGGATGAAAGGGCCGCTTGAATATTCGTCAAGTCAAGAGAGCAAGTTGACATTGTTTGTATTGTCTAGTTCATTTCATCGGCTTTCTGTTCAAGACGTTCAGGCCGATAGTTGAGGACGTTTTCGGGTTGACGGGGCGCTGAACAGCAGCCGAATGCCATCATCTCCACATTCAGAACCCAAAAAAAGAACAAACTGGAGTAAAGTGACTATTTTTCAAACAGTTTGTTGAAGGTCATTCATGCGATGTCTTCATCAATCAGCCATCGAGCACCAAGTGGAAGGAACTAGTTTTGCTTCTAAAATGGAATGACCATTATTCACTACATGCTTTTGAAAATAAATGGTGTCATTCTTTTAATCGCAAAATGATTTATTTGTGTCTTCCAATATGGAGAAAAGTTCCACGGTACTGTACAAGCTTTCTTCTCACTCTGCCCACCTTCACCTTTCCTCACTAACCTTGCGGCCCTTGTCAAATTTCATTTTAGTATGTTTTTATTTTTTGGGTCATATTGCGGGCCACTGAAAAGTTGACGGCAGACCGTGGACTCAGGATGTAAAAGATGAAGAAAAAGTACACCAGGGCCAGTTGCCAGACAGCAGATTGAGTGAGTCACCAATTACAAAACAGGTTTTTGGCTGAATCAAATTTTTCCGTGTGGTATCATACCTAAGTTTGTTATTTCTAAAAATATCGTCAAGTGATTATGAAAGTCACCGGAATCCAAATTTGAAAAAACTAAAATAATATATAACAAAGCAGGTCACCTTTAACCTACGGCGTGATTATGAAAGTCACTGGAATCCAAATTTGAAAAAACTAAAATAATATAACAAAGCAGGTCACCTTTAACCTACGGCGGCGCTTGACCTGCATCACCGGAAGTTGTTAGCGCTCGGCAGTCTGCACTTGCGGCTTGCGATCAGAGCTCTTGCCATGGATCATGGATGTTTTTTTTTTAAATTCTCATGCAAAGTTTGTTTCATCTGCAATTCACCGATGGCACTGGCAAAGAATGTCAATCTGGAGCGCCAGGAGGAGCATTTTCAAACGGGACGCGTGAGCTACGATTGTGATCGTGCAGTGAACACGCTGCCCAAGTGCGTCCCAAGCCGCCGCCGCGTCAAGTCTCGACTCAGGTAGGCAGCGATTCCTTTTTTTACAAACTCACAAGCTCTTGTATCTACTGTATTGTTTCGTTCACGTTTGAGGGCCGTTTTGGCTGTTGCTGTAGCTGTTGTGAAAGCGCTAAATCAGGATGTACTGTGTTGTATTGTTGCTCATCGTGGCACGCGTGCGTGTTTGTGTACCCGTGCACGTGCGGTAACGGGTCGCGGGAGGTCGGTTGCTTGAAAAGTCGATATTCGGTCAAAAAAGGTTGGGCAACCACGCAGTAGTCGACGAAGTCTTACTCTTAAAGAGCTTTGGTCAGCAAGTCAACGAGCTCCCCTACCTGCCGGTTGAGTATAGAAGCACCTGTGGTTAAAGCAAAACTGTCACAGTTTTGTTTTTTTGGACTTTCTGGGCCTGGACTTGACACCTGTGCCTACGAGACAGGACTTGACATTTACACGAGCATCGAAAAGGCGGGCAGGCACGTTGCGGGTGATTCGATTTGTGATGAACAGGGAGGATGAATCTCTTGTCAGCTATTTGGATTGTGGCCCGTCTTCGTGGCAGCCATGTTGGTGGGGGCAGCGTCCCAATCAAAGGCAATGCATGTCCATTTAAAATAATTTTTGCTCATTTCTCCGCCGATTTTCATAAGGTTTACTTTTGTTGCTGGCGTTACAGCATGGGCTTTCATTACAGATTTATTTTGGGGGGGGGGCATAAATATTGTTACCTATGAATATCAGTATTTTACAAGCTCTTCAAGCAGGGATGGTGGAACTAATGGGGACTCGAACCGCATCAGAAATCTGAGTAGCTCCAGTCAAACTTCACTTTAGCCCCAGGAGAAAAAAAAATAATCCTGGAGTACTGATCGTCTTTAAGCATTCATTTATACCCATGCCTGCATAGCCAAACGAGAAACTGCCGTAATGTAGTTCTTCGAGAAGCTTGGAAGGAGAGAGAAAAAAAAGTACTTTGGCTAATGTTGTCATTTTGACTGTAGCTCCATTTCTCCGGTGGGTACTTCAGTTTTGTTTGGCAACATTTAATGCAGAGAGCTCCTTGTTTGATGGGACTTGTTTTAAATAGCAGTCGGGGCTGCCTTGTTTTCTGCCAGTTGAGTCTTGCTTGAAAATCAAAAACTCAAAAGGTCAAGACCCCAGACTTGCACGTATCAATTGATCTTCTGGGGTCAAACGCTCACTCCGAGTTGACGCTTTGATGATCCGTTTGATGGTGGGCGCTTGACAAGCCATACTTGTATCATAGTAAGGTGACAAATGAAAAGAAGATGGCTGGATGGAATTCATACGTGACACCTTGAAACGACGACATTAACTGCCACGTAGTGGACAAAACAACAGCCGAACCCGCGCTCTTTCCCAAAAATCGGAATAGATTTGTGTTTCCCTTTTTTTATTAAGAGTTTGTTTTCATTAAGTATTTTATTTTTTTTTTTTTTAATTAAGAGTTTGTTTTCATTAAGTTTTTTTTTTTTTTTACAATAACTTATCTGTTACAAAGAATGTTTTCTCAGGTAGAAACAAAGACACATTTTAGATGTTGCAATCATTATTTTTCTCCATTTGATAAAACCAAATAAACTGCCTCTTCCCACCGCGGTGCAGATCAAGCTGAAATGTTTTTCTATGGGCTGGAAAAAAAGAAAAAATGTTTTGGCATCGAGTGCTTGAGAGACATTGTTCATCTGTTCTTTTTTGATGGATTTCAAATTGGGTTCTAAGAAAACAATGAAATGATATCGATTTAATTGTTCCAAAGGAACAAATGCAAAGAGATTTCAATGTTAAACGCAAAGGGCAAAATCAGAAAATATAACAATTCCACATTCGGGTTAAGTAGAAGCACCCCCCAGAACCCCCCCCCCCCCCACCAAGAAAAGCTTGAGGATGATCTGAGCCAAATCGGGGGAAAAAAAAAGTAAAAGAGTACACAAAGTGAACAGTCAAGTTGTGCTTTTTATAGTTTCCCTCAATGTAAAAATTCGGACCTTTATTCAGGACACTTTTGACATATTCACTATGAACCTCAGTACCTCAAAAAAAAAAAAAAAAAAAAAAAAAAAAAGCATAATAACAAACAGGACAATTTCGTGAACTGTTCCAAGGAACTCCGATGTGACGATTATACTGGAAATGTCTTTTTGCACTGAGGTGGGGTTGCTGTCCCCAAATATTAAACCCACATTCCAGTTGTCAGATAAAAAAAAAAAAAAAAGCAGATCGTAATTGTGATTTCCGACATTTTCGGTGTTGTGGGAAGGGGGCCGGGGTGGGTGGGGCGCCGCTTTGCCTCCTCCGCAGACGGTCCACGAAACCGCAAGCAGTGACGCGAGTGTCGACGAACCCGCGGCAGGTGGCGCTTTCTGATGACTGAGAGATTCTTTCGTGCTCTCAAAGTCTCGCAGAAATCAACCGACATGCTTACAAAGGGGGGGGGGGCTGGGCGTGTCACTTATCCAATGAAATAAGAGGGAAACTCAACAAGTAATAAAGTCGCTCGCTATACTTACAGGAAATAAAGGTGATTCATAGTGTGAGGAAGAAGGCGCATTCGAAAATTATGTACAGTAAAAAGGCACTTTCTGTACACAAAGCATGCATTTTTTTTTTCATTTTTGAAGTCAAAGGGAAGGAATATTGAAAAACAAGACGGGTATGAGGCACGTTTCGGAGGCAGCGAGGCTGCCAGATTGCCCTTTAGCATCCTCTAGAAACAGCAAATCGGGTCCATGAGTAGTCCGTTGGTCTTCCCTTCAGATGGAGCGCTGCGTCCCGACATTGCCAAATCCCCGCGCCAAGCCACCGGGGGGTGGGGGTGGCGGGGAGGGACTCCGTTGGGCAAAAGACACGTCACGTCGGCGCCTGCGGTGAGGATGTGACACTGCGAGGGGTCACGCTCATAATACTGTGAGTGAGTGGGAGCAGCGAGGTATCCCCCCCTGCCTCCCTCTGAGGGAAGGGGGACCTTGAGCGGGGGAAGAAAAAAGAAAAAAAAAAAAAGGACCCCACACGATCCGAGTGTCTAACGTGAGGTATTATCCACCGGTGCCTGCCTTGAGGAAAAAAAACACAAGCTGTAAACGGTATCCAGTCAAAGCTTCAGGAGGACAGCATTCCGCAAACTTGAGTGGGGTCAGAAAAAAAAAAAACAAACAAACAAAAGAGGCCGGATTAGAAGCCATCCCAGGTTTCATCCAACGAGGGAAAGAATCCCAGCGCCCGTGTTATTTTCTCCGATTCAAGCGCGCGAGATAAGCAGGCGGAGGGACGCGTGGCTGCCTCTCTGGCTCAGAAGTCCCGTAGGAGGTCGCACTCTTCACAGCGGTTGAGGGCTGGGTGGTTGAGGAAGGTGCAGCCCGTGCAGCTCCACTGCGTGCCCTCGTCTTCCTCCTGCTCCGCCAAACTCGGACTGTCTGCGGCGCAAGAGGAACACCACAACGTTTACGGAGGCGGTCGGCTCGCAAAAGCTCCCATCCGCCCGGCGCGCCGCGCGCTTTGTTGGAGCGGCCGCTTTCCGGGCTTTATTTCTGTCAGCGGCGGGGCGCTCGGAGGGCCGCGCCGATTCAGGAAGAACCGGTCGCGCGCGCGACAATAGCGCCGCCTTGTCGGCACGCGCCGGGGAGGATGCGGCGCGCCCCCGCCGACGTTTTCAGCGCGGCGGCCAAAAAAGAGAGCCTTTGACAAGAGTCACTCGGGGCCGTGACGCTTACCTCTTTTTTGCAGGAGATCAATTTCTTTGGTGAGGCAGTCGATGTCGATTTGGAGTAAGCGGTTTTTGCATCGCAACTGCTTCATCTCCTCCATCTGGGAACGAGAGCGGAGGAGCCAGTTAGATCGGAGACAACATTGGGGTCATTTGGAAAAAGCATCCGTCGCTCTCTCCGTCTCGCTTATCTGTCTGTGCATGCTGTGTGCAGACGCGCCAGCGGGCGGCCAAACTGCCCAAGTTAAGTCAAGTGTTTTTTTTGCAAGCATGCGCTTTCTTTTGATCAAGGCGTCCACATTTCTTCCCGGAATGGAGGCT